TTTCCATCATCTTATCAGTAATTCGAGTTTTTTAATTCTCTTCTCTCTCTCTCTTTCTCTCTTCATCCTTTATTCTTTGGATGAAAAGCATTATTTTACTCTTTCATTCTCTTCATTTGTTCTTGCATGTTCACTTTAATGTCTTTTTACATAGAAAGTGGAAGATGATGGAAACGAAAAAGAAACTAGAAGATAATCAGATATGAACAGAAAACGGAAGATGAAGATTCTCTCCCTCCATCTCTCTCTCTCTCTCCTAAACTATCTCTCCTTTCCTTAGCTTCGTAATTTGATTGTTTTGTGAAAAATTGCAAAACATTTGCCTATGATAATTTCCCTTGATATTATAACATATTATTAGTATAATATATAAAACTGAATATTCTGAGTTGGCGAAACAAGTTTCATGAAACTTTCTGAAGAAGAAAAAAGTTCTCAAAATCAACTGAGAGAGAGAGAGAGAAAAAAAAACTGAAATCAACATATTGAATTCATTGCTTTTTATAATAGATTAAACCTCTTATCGCCCTCACAATTTCAATTTACTTACTTCAGGTAATCATACACATTATGAGAATCATCATGTTTGATGAATTATAAGTAATTTATATAATCCAGCCGATTGAATTTCTCATTGATTTTATTATTCTAAGTTTATCAGAATACATATTGATCAAGAAAATAAAATGAATTCTCAATGAAACTCTCATGTAAATAGTAAAATTTTTCACTGGAAATTTTTTTTAATAATAATCATTCTTGAGACTTTCAAATGTCAACGAATCAAATATTATATAGTCAAAGATGATCAGACATTGTGATGATTATAAATATTAATAATAATATATAGAAATTGATGGAAAAAAAAGTTTGATGAGAAAATAAAAATGGCGAATAGATTTTGTTAATCAACCAATCAACTAAACTGTCAAAATTTATAATATAAGCCCCAAGGAGTTTGATGATAATGTTTTATTAATAGTCTGATAATGGATTTGGGAGGCGATAAAATCATTTAATTCAATTTCTATCACGTTCGATTGATAGATATATTTACCAAATTATCAAGCTAATTGTTGAACATAATCCAGTTTAAAAGTTGATGAAAGATAATGATGATTAGTTAAATTTTAAACTACGATTAAATCGTCAATCATCATCACTTTAATCACCATCAAACAACAAACATCACACTGTTTAAAGTATTTTCTTGGAATGGGTTTGCCAAAATTTTTGAATATTAATTTTGATTGACGATTTTAACGACATTTTTTGTTCACAACTTTTATCTTCATCTTAATCTTAATCATCCTCATCTCTTTATTTTTTTTCTTTCTACTTTCTCTTGCGTATTTATCCTCTGTAGCGAATTCTCATTCGTAGTGTGAGAGTTTGAGAAACTTTTTTTTTTGGTTCTTTTGTTCATCCACAGAAATTGAGTTAGCCTTTTGATTAGGTTAACTTGGAACATATTGATTTCCAAGTGTGATAACGACTCTTTTTCTCAAAGGAGTAAAAGTTAAATCAAGAATTTTGGAAACTTATAGTCACCCTGAAACTCTCGTCATCAAGGAATTTCATCATGCTTATTTGATGATGTGAAAATAGAGAGAGAGAGAGAGGAACGAAGGAAAGTCATCATAGTTAACAGTTTAATTCTTATGGCCTGAGGGTGACAAATTTCAAACAAAGAAAAAGGATTCTTCATGATTCTTTGAAAATTAAAAGATGCAGAGATTCAGAGGACACTTGAAATTATCACAACTAAAGTAATAATACAAAAAAGTTCAGGTGAGAGAAAGACTGATGAAATGGTTCGGTTCAGGGAGTGAAAAAAAGTTCTGGGAATTGAAAATGACCAATTGTAAACAATATCATTCTACACCTTCTTGTTGATGACTCTCTCTCTCTCTCTCTCTCTCTCTTCATCTTGTTCATCATGTTATTTTCCAAGAGAATAAAAAATCATGAAATAGACAGAACAAGTTAAAAATGAAAAGAGACATGATGATTATGATGAACTAACGAAAGAAAAAAAAAGAATTCAAAAATTTATACAATCCAAACATTTCCGCTTCTCAGGTAGAAGTGGAAATAGAGCATTAATGTTTGCTCTCTCTCTCTCTCTCTTTTTTCTCAGAATTGGTAGAATTTGTAGTTTTTATGATACATGATAATGAAGTTTCTCTTTTTATATTTATTAATAGAATCATTTCAACTAAATACATGTTAGAATAGAAAAATATGTTTCATCTTGTTCATTCTGATGGAGATAAAATTTCAATTAGTTTTCATTCAAGAATTAAATCATTTTAAAGAGAAGCAAAAAAGAGATACATTTAAATGGAAAAAAAAACTTTGATTCAAATTAATTACTTTCAAGAGAAAAAGTTGATACACATAAAAACCAGAGAATTCATTTGATTTGAAATTTATATTGGAAACATTGGTTAACATTATAAACATGATTCCATGTAAAAAGATTGATTCAAACTTCACTTGAAAGATTATGGTGATTATGATGAAACTTTAACCTGATTATTTTGAGAGTATTACCTGGTCAATATCATTTATAATTCAAAATTCAAATAAACAAACATCAAGACTTGAGATTGAATTGCAATGAACACTATAGACTAAACTTTTTTGCCTTAACCATCACCATGATCTTCATGAATTCAAAGATAGTTTCAATTCTGTTCATCATAATGTTGACCAAAACCATTCGGTCAATTATTTAGTTGATCTTGTATTTTTTTCTTTACTCTCGTGGCTCAATATAATATATAAAATGTTTATTATCGAAGTAAATTGAATGAATTCTCTGCCCTCTTCTAGTTGAGATGTTAACCTTAAGGTGATAAAATGGAGTAGAGAGAGAGAGAGAGAGAGAGAGAGTATGGACAGAGAGGGAAAAAAGTTCTACTGCATTTTTCATTGAATCATTTCAATTCTGAGTTAATGAAATAAAATAGCCTGAAATAACAAGGAACAAGAAATCAAATCAACAAGATAAAGAATACCGAATTAGTTGAATTGGTGCAGGTAGGAAACTCATGATAGAGATTGGGGATAGAGGGAGAGAGAAAAGTTCCAAAGATCTACCTGAGTAAAGTTGGTGGATCAATCTATTTTCTTAATCTCGCAAAATCAAATAATATGAATTGAATGGGAATAAATTGGTTAGCAATTTATTATTGAGAATAGAATACAGAGTTTCAGAGTAACTAGTTAATTGTGCATTTGTTGTATTAATTTAGCTCAATATATATGAATATAGATCAATCGTGTAATTGCAATTAGAGTAATAATAATACAACAGAATAAGTTAAACGAAGAAAAGTAATTTTATCAAGTGAAATTAATTGTATTAGAAAAAAATTTCTCGCCAACAATTTACTCAATAAAGGATAGTACACCGAGGGAGAGGGTAAATGAATCTCTATTATCAAATCAATAGTATTTGGATCATTATTTTTTCATGATAATCTGTTAAAACTCATTATTGTTTGAAATTCAATGGAAAATAGTAAAACTTGAATGGATAATATTACATTCAAATGTAAATACGTTGTACTTTTAAGGGTTGAGTAAATTAATCTTCATGTTAATTCACAATTTCTCATGATAATTGAACAGCATCAAAACAATTCTTATATTAAATACTAATAATAATATCTTTGAATGATTAACATGAATATCATTTATTATCATTAGCAATTTATTGATAGTAATTTGAGTTGGTGAAACTTTTGGAAACTTTCATCACCATGATTATCAATTTGCTGAATTCATGCTGATGACAAACTGAAAATCAATCATTGGTTTTGAAATTGTAGTTTTCAGGGTTTGGTATTAATCAATTTGATGTGATGATTTTTATATGTAATATTTAATTTGCTTTGTAGCAAATAAATTGTAACAATTTAACTTTAGTTGATGAGAATTAGTTTCATCTACAATTTGCCTTCATTTTTACTGTAACAATTATCTTCTTATAATCCAGTTTAAAAGTTGATGAAAGATAATTATGATTAGTTGAAGTTTAAAATACGATTAAATCGTCAATTATCACCACCATATATGATGATTATAATCACCATCACAAACATCACCACCATTAGAGTTTATCATGTGTAATCTCCGTTGGAAAGTTAAATCATTGAATTAAATATGAATTTTGTGTAGTAATAATTATAAACCGTTTCTAGAGCGAATCTCATTATCTGAATGTTCACTGTGGAGAGATTGCCAAAAGTTTTGAATATTAATTTTGATTGACGATTTCAACGAAATTCTTAAGCATCTTTTTATCTCCATTTTGATCATTCTCAGCTTTTTTTCCCTCTTTTATGTATTTATGATTAATATCTTTGCTAATTATCATGCACAGTGAGAGTCTGAAAGGAAAAGTTTATGTTCATTCAGAGAAATTAAGTTTTGATTAGGTTAACTTGGAACATATTGATTTCCAAGTGTGATAACGACTCTTTTTCTCAAAGGAATAAAAGTTAAATCAAGAATTTTGGAAACTTATAGTCACCCTGAAACTCTCGTCATCACCAAAGTTTATTTGGTGATGTAAAAAAAGAAATTTCAGAGAGAGAGAGAGAGAGAGAGAGAGAGAGAGAGAGAGAGAGAGAGAGAGAGAAATGAAGAAAAGTCATCATAGTTAACAGCTCAATTCTTATGCCCTGAGGGTGACAAATTTCAAACAAAGAAAAGAATTCTTTATGATTCTTTGAAAATTAAATAATGCGGAGATTCAAGGGACACTTGAAATTATCGAAAGTGATAATGAAAAGTTCAGTTGATAAGACTAAGGTTTTATATACTTTTCGAGTTTCGATTGTCTTTTACTAATCAATTTCCAATAATTTCTTGTCAGCGATTTCATCTCAACTAAATTATAATTATTTTACTTTTCTTATGACATTAATATGTAGGAATTTTGTTTTCTTTTGAAATAATTTTAGTTGATTAAAGAAAATGGAACTTACTGAATTGATGAGGTTCATCTTGGAACATATCTTCGGTGTTTGAATATATTGTCCGAGAAAATTGAAGTAAGAAAGCAAGAGAAAATGATAAAGATGATGAAGTTACACAGAAATGTCGATAAGCCATTTGGAAGTTAACAAGTTAATATGATGAGGTAAACACAGAAAGATGAGAGAAAGAGAGACGATATAGAATGATGAGAGTGATAATTGTCCGAGAAAAAAAAACCGAAAAGAACAAATTTATTCGGGTAGAATAATCCAAAATGATTGAAACTGTTCAATAGTAATTAACTTTATTCTCTCAAACTCTTAACTTTATTCTCAAAGACCATTGAAAAAGGTTCTACTCAAAAAGAGAAAAAGTTTTATCACATCTTCATCCGGATTCTTCTCACTCTCTCCTCTTTCATCGGTTTCCATTCTCAGTTCCATCACCAACTCCATCTACTAGAGTTCAGGGTAGATCGAAAGTTCGTAAATCGTATAAAATGTACAAAAGAAAACCAAAGAGAGAACAAACCAATTCGCATAGAAATTCCCTCAAAACCGAACGAACCAAAAACCTCGCAATATTTAATTCTTTATGAAACAATCATAATTTTTTTGATTATTAGAAAAAAGTTCTGACATTTAAATCCAATGAAATGTTAAATTTTTCTTAAACTTTAATTTGCCGCCATCAAAGAAAAACAAAATTCTCATTAAATCAATCGCAATTCTTAGATTCTGATGAGGTTTTTATATCCATCCCAATGGTTTTAATTGGAATATTAAAGTATTTTGATTATAATTATAATCGTCAAGAAAAGAGAGGTAATTAAAGTTAATCAATTCGAAATTCAAATTAACCGCGAAGTTTGATCATTGGCTGAGTCGAATCGACCATCGGCTCAGTCGCTTTTTCGGCTTGAGACAAAAACGCCTTTCGTTTTGTAAACAAATTGGAAACAATTTAATTCCAACTTGTTTATTTTTGTTAATTGTCATTGTTTTGGTTTTGTTTCTTTTTCTATTTTAATTAAGTTACAATCGTCATTAAATATGAAGAAAAAGGTAAGTGATTGTTATTTTCGTTTTCTCTGATTGATTAGGTTACCTTTGAGTTTATTTGGTCTTTTCTTTTTCCTTTTCATCTTCTCTCAGGTACTTCTTATGGGTAAAAGTGGAGCTGGAAAAACCTCCATGAGATCAATCATATTTGCTAATTATATTGCTCGTGATACAAGACGATTAGGTGCTACAATCGACGTGGAACATAGTCATGTCCGTTTTCTTGGTAATCTTGTACTTAACCTCTGGGACTGTGGTGGTCAAGAGGCCTTTATGGAAAGTTATTTCGCCTCACAGAGAGACAATATTTTTCGAAATGTTGAACTTTTGATTTACGTTTTTGATGTTGAGTCAAGAGAATTGGAAAGAGACATTCACTATTTCCAATCTTGCTTGGAAGCCATTCTACAAAATTCTCCAGAAGCTAAAGTTTTCTGTCTAATACATAAAATGGATCTCATACCCGAAGAGAAAAGAGATTTGGTAACAATTGCTTTTTCTATTATTCTACTTCTTCAATCTAATCATTTCTTTTGTTCTCATTTGGTTTTTTCTCTTTTTTTCTCTTGTTGTCCTGTTTTTTCCTTTGTCCAGATATTTCTAGATAGAGAATCAGAATTGAAGAAACTATCCCAGCCCATTGAAAGTAGATGCTTTCGAACCTCCATTTGGGATGAAACTCTGTACAAAGCTTGGTCGGAAATCGTTTATACCTTAATTCCAAATGTTCAAGAATTAGAGAGACATTTGAAACATTTTGCAGAGATAATTGAAGCAGATGAAGTTCTACTTTTTGAAAGAGCCACTTTTCTCGTTATTTCTCATTGTCAAAGGAAAACTCATCGTGATCATCATAGATTTGAAAAAGTTTCCAACATAATCAAACAATTTAAACTTAGTTGCAGTAAATTAGCAGCCCAATTTCAAAGTATGACGGTAAAGAATTCCAATTTTGCCGCTTTCATCGACATATTTACACCAAATACTTACGTAATGGTTGTCATGTCCGATCCAACGATACGTAAGTTAATCATTTCTCCATCTATTTATTACTTAATTATGTTCCTCTAATTAATCTTGTCTCTTTCTGTCTCTGTCAACAGCTTCAGCAGCCACATTGGTGAACATTAAAAATGCTCGTAAACATTTTGAAAAATTGGAAGGAGTTAAAAATCGTTGAATTAATTGTTTCATTGACAATTTATAAGAACAGTTGATTGAACACAACATCAAACGTTAACTTTCAACTTTAATTGTTACATTTTGTTGTTAATCGTTTAATGATTAGTTCATTTTGATTGTTAGTTTATTTTTTTGCTTAATTTTGAAAACTCTGGTTTGTTAATTGTTGTCACTGCGATGATTATAATTTTATTTAGCTCTTATAAGTAAGTGAAGCCTTTTCAACTTTCAATCAAATCATCTATTATTTTGATTTAATATATTTCACAGTCCAATAAAACTGTTGTAATTTGATTAAAATCAAGTTTTTAACAAGAAGGTTTGATTTAAATACTTAATTTTAACCGTTTACAATCAGTTAATTGTCTAAATCATCTCATCAACATCGAAACCTTGATCATCTAGGTTCCAATCAATCCTTTTTTCATATTCACCATTGCATTAGATTAGTGAATTTCCTAATGACAATTAAGACAATTTTGTTAATTGAGGATTTTATCAATAGTATAATTGTTGAAGATCTTGTATTTGATTCAATTGTCTATTGATTATCTCATTTAATCATAGACTTTAATTGATTTCGTCATTATGATAAATGAGTTTTATGATCTGTGATACTGATCAAATTTATTACCACCACAATCGGTTAATTAATAATCTTAATTAACTTTTTTTTCACTCCGTAATCAGATACATATTAAATTCATGTTTAAATACATGTGAAAATAATTACCTTTATTTTTTTTCCAGACAATTTAATCCCTTGGTATTAAAGTTGATTAATTTTGATGATTTGAATCATAATTAAATCTAAATAACTGCAAAAAATCAATAATAATCAACTTCTTAAACACTGGAAACCAAATTAGCTCAACAATTAAATAACTGATGATATTAAGACAAATGTAACAATCAATTTCTAAGACAATCAAATGAATGGTCAATTATTAAACTAATTGAAATTACCGATAAAATTGTTTTTTAATATTCATTTAATTTACTAATTGTTAATTGAAATGGTTTTGCAATAAACTAAATTTGATTATTGAATTTAATGGTTATTAATGGGAAAGAAAATAAAAATTATTATGGTTAACGGATTTTTCTTAATTGTATTGAGTTAATTTTATTTGAAAATCTAATTGTTGTCTCCATGTGAACCATAATAAAAGACCATAACAATTGAAGACAATCAAGTTAATTGAATCACAATTGGATTGTTGATTAACTAAAATTAACGATGAAAATAAACAAATATTATTTGAATGGTGAAAATAAAACAAATTAGATGATGAAAATTAACCAACCATGAACCATGATGATTAAAATGTTAAGGCCTAAGGATAATGTTCAATTAATTATGAATGTAAATTATATTCAATGATATGGATTAGCAAATGATGAGAATTACAATTAATGCAGATGTAATATTAACCCGAGTGGTTGATTCAGTTTAATGATTAACTGGCTTATCCTATGAGAGTGATGATCAAATAATATAAATGAAATTAAACCAGCTGGTTATCCGATGGTATTATAAATCAAATTGTGAAATATTGTCATTAAAAAAACTACAATTATTATCAATTCTCGATACAATCAAGTGATTACATAACATTGTGAAAGTTTGAAGTTTATCAATGAAGCAAAAAAAGATGAGGTAAAACTTATTTCGCATATTTTAACGGCGATTTACCGTATGAGGAGGAGGATGAAAAGAAAAAGATGACGAGGAAGATAAGAGGAGAGATTATGAATGAGTGAGTGAGAGAGAGAGAGAGAGATGAGATGGATGAAAAGTCTAGAAGAAGATGAGGAAAAAAAGTAAAAGGAGATTGTGGATAAAGAGAGAGAGGGAAAAAAGGATAAAAGAGAGAGAAAAAGAAGCCAATAAAGTCTGAAAGAAGATGATGAGGATGATTGAAGATGTAAAGAGTATGTTTTTGTTAGAGTTGAAGGTTGACCTGGAACGTGCGTGACGCGTAACGCGTGTTCGAGAGTGATAATATGTCCCATACGGCACGCGAATTACCTTTACTCTCACTGCAGACATTTTTCGCTCCTTCTCTTTATTTCTCTCTCTCTCTCTCTCTCTCTCTCTCTCTTTCTCTCTCTTTATCATCTTCATCTATCAGGGTCTCTGAAAAACAACAAAATGGGGGTGACAGGATTAGCTTGATTCTAATCCGTATCTTTATCATTATCATCATCATCATCATCTGTTTACCATACGAATACAAGGGTGACCCCTTAGGTTAGATGACCTTCGATATTGTTGTTTGTTTATCCAAATAAAATGTTGATAAAATGTTTCACTTTTTTCCCTTCTAAAGGATTTCCAAGTTCTTCTACATTAGATTAGTTGATTGGTAAAATTGTTTAGATTACAATTAAGTAATTACAAGCACACTTTTCACTCGAAGATAAACAATGAGACCTTAAAATTACTTTAATCACCAGAACAAAGTTAATGATAATCATTAACAATCAAATTTCTGAGTAAACTTTGCCTTCTCCAATCAAACCTCTCGAAAACAACATGTAATCAACTTTAAATTGTTTCTTCAGTAAATGAATTCATCGTTCTCAATTAATTCCATTGAAATCAACAATTAAACAATCGCCAGGAACAAAAATCTTACACAGAAAGAAAAAGTTTACAATTAACGCTGAACAATCAAGAGTAATTCCAAATGCAATTTAATCTGGAAAATTAATCCAAAAATAGATTTGATGTTAATTTGATTCTAAAAAAAACCAAACTCCCAACAGTTAAATCTGTTTGATGAAAAACTTTTACCACGCGCTCATCCTCATCCTCATCTCCCCCATCATCATCTTTCTCATCCTCATCTTCTTGGCAATGGATCAACTTTAATATACATGGAGCAAAGTTAATCTATGGGAATAAATACTTCTGTCATTTTAAGCCCATAGACTTCGAGAAAACATTCAAATCTCCTCTTCTCTCGCTCGCTCACTCACACACACACTCTCTCTCTTTTCCCTTTCTTTTCTTTCTTTTTCCTCTTCTCCTCCTTCTCTCATCATCCTCATCTCAACCGTCTCTCTCTCTCTCTCTCTCTCACCCTCCCAGACTATTATTCTCAATAAAGACAATTGGAAATACATTTACCTCAATTTTTTATATCATTTCCTTAACAAACGGTCAATTGGACAATATGATTTTCCCCAATACCTTACATTGTATTCGCGACCGTTAACAATGTAAACCATTAAAAAGAAAGAGAAAAACTGTTCTCCTTTTCATCTTCGTGTCTGTGACTGTACTTTTTGGTCCTTTTATCGACCTTGCTCCCCATCATCTTTTCCTCCTCATCTTCTGCTTTCTCTCCCATAGATCTCTCTCTCTCTTTTCATCCTCATCATTTGGGTTATATTATTTTCCATCAAACTGTTAATTCACTTTGATTCAGTTATAACTTTCATCGTCTACACTCAACTACAAATGTAATTTTGTTTTCTCTGTGTTTTAATTGTGATTAGAGTTACTAGTTAACTCTAATAATCAATATCTTAATCATGTAGTTTAATTGTGATCAAATATTTTTTCTATTAAGTGTAAATATTTTCATGTTCATTTAAATTTATCTTACCTTTTTATTGTAAATTATTTTCTTAATTTGTCATCAATCAACTTTAATCAATCTTAATTTGATTGAGCAAAAAACAAACTTGGATGAGTCTCTAGTCATTGTGATTGTATCAACATTTGGATCTGTCAACAATCAAATTCAATTTTTGGATTAATTTTTGTTCCCATTTGTTTACAAATCATTCAAATTATACAAGATAAATTCATTTAACCATTTTAATATATTAATCAAATGTAATGTTTATAATTAACCTCTTTCAATTTTCACCATATAAATTGTTTATCATCAATCAACTAATCAATTTCATTAGAAAATAAATTGTAACGTTTTTTCACCCAAAAGTTTAAGTCTTTCCTTAATTTCACCCACTCGAATGTCCAATCAAATGTCCAAAGCGTTTTCGTTCATCGGCTTGCTGATCATCGATCAATATTAGTGTTCAATCTTAATTGTAATTAACAAACTTTGATATTTAAAAGTTTATCTTAGCCAGTTAATCGGGTTTAGGATTATTGGTTTAGTATTAATATAATTGTTTTCGCAAGGAATTGGTTGTTGAATCAGTTAATCATCAATATCATAATTAATTAGTTGATCGACTAATCCACTGATTGTTATTGTATAAGATGATTCGATTATCTCTATCCGATGATTTGTTGGTTAATTTTGATCGGGAAAATTGATTCTGTTTCTATTGAATCAATTGTGACCATCGTTGATTGTAATGATTAAAAATATCGATTCGAGTTGATGTGTCATTAAGTAAATCACTCGAGTCGAAATTTACATGTGTAACATTCCAGGTCATATGGAAAACGGTATGGAATAGGAATCCGAGTTTTATTTCGAGAGCTAAATGTTTATGATTATCAGTGTTCGAGTCAAACTGTTCAGGATCAACAATAACTTTCCATTCATTGAGATATGAATCAATGAATGAGTCAATGGACGAATCGGGAATGTAATTTAGATCACTTTTACCGTCACCGATACAAAGTTCTGAGAAGAATTTACCTAAATCGATACCACGAAAATTATTCTGACTGTTTTCCACATCGATAATCATTACATCAAATGAAGATTTGATTGTTGATGATAAATTGTCGATCTCCTTTGGAAATAAGAAATTTGTATAATTAAGATCAATGAGCGAATACATTTTTCTGCTTGATCAAGGTCATTTTCTCAATCAATCGAGTGGCGGGTTTATCCATATAGAACTGTTTAACTTTTCGTAATAAGAGAGCCGTTGGTTCAGAATAGTCAGCTAATCGGGTTTCAGTATAGTTGGACAGAATTTCGGTCGCTTTGGTAATATTATCTCGACAAATTTGGACAAGATCGTAAACTTTTTCACATTTGAAGCGGGTTACATGATATTGAGCAATTTTCGGTGCCAAAATGGTCAAGATATCGATTTGAGCTATTCTTTTGGGATCCAAAATGGTTGACTCAATGTACTCATCAATACGCCCTCCGGGAAAAGATTTCAACACGGCAGGTGATATACCACGAGCGGACAGAATTTTCAGAATTTCCATTTCTTCGTCGTCGGAAACACATTTGTACTGATTACCTTCACCAGTGAATTCACTCCCATAGAAACGGACAATTACTTTTGAATATCTATCAACTTGTCCACTCTTGGAGCTGTCGATATTTTCATCATGATGACCAGTAGATGAACAAGCAACAGGTTGGCCTGAACCCACCGATGATGATTTCGGCTCAGTAGTCAAGTCACTTGAAGTTGCTGATGATCGGGAACAGATAAATAAACGATTTGATCGCCCATTGGAAACTGATTCAACATTAATCTCTTGCAAAGGTAAATTAGACCAAGATGAGATCAAAGAACGACAAATTGTCTTAGCTTTGATTGGAAATGTCGATTCCATCAATAAGATTTAAATAAAGAACAAGATTAATGAAAATAAAAGATCGAAAGAAAAAACAAACAATCGCTAAAGCGGATCGATTGGGTAAAATTTGTCTTTTAAATCTTTGAGTTTGAAGTTACAATTGGCAATGAGCTTAACTCAAACTGTTGGTTCGAACAAGGTTCAATCCAGATCAGGTTATTCAGGTCACTTTGGTCCTTCGATACGTGGCCTCTTATCCTTATTTGTCCAAACGTCTTGTGACAGGAGGAAACTTGGTGGCTTCACGATGATAGATTTTATTAATTCACTTGATTCTTTTCAATCTAACACTTTTTATTAGTTTCCAATATTTACCTTGTTATCTCTCTGGATTTATCAATTGTTGATAACAATTTGCAATCACGAATTAGGATCGTATTGTAATAACGATTATGTTGAGTTGAGTCGAGTTGAATTTGCTGGTTCGAACAACAATTAATCCTGATCATGTTATTTAGGTTAAGTTTGGGTGTTTAATTTATGACATCGCATCCTTATTTGTCAAACTCGATAGAGACACTAAATACGATTTTATGAGATATTGAGTCCAGAAAATAGATGTGATTTTAAGTCTTTTCAGTTTTTATCGATTATTTTGATTTATATTTTTACGGTTTAATTGGTTGATGAAATTATTAAACCATCGAATCACTGGAAATGTCCAAAGCAAATTGTGGATTCTCACCGACATTGTACCAAGCTAACGCTGGCCCTAATCCCGTTTGCCAACATCCATGAGTACACAAGATTTAGATTAAGATATTTTTCAGGTCAAAGTTGAAAATCAATTCGGTTTAGAAACCAAATTTGTGTCAAATCAACAAAGATTCAGTCAGAATCATATATAACAACGATGTGCAAAGATTTAACTTTGTTTGCTGCAGGGGAAATGCTTCAACTCGTCCATGGGAGGAAAATTGTGCCAGGCAATTTAGAGAGAGGGTAATTTGAACAAATAAGCGGGAACAATAATCTTAATTGTGATTATAAATCTATTGTTTCGCAAGTTGAGAGAGTTGGACAAGTGGTTATTAAACTTGCAACGTTAAACTAATCGTTTTTTTTTCAATTCTTTTTCTTTAAATTAAAGAAAATGGTTAAACTAACAAGTAAGTTAATTGAGTTGACATAATCAATGTTGATGATCATCAAACATTGAGTTGAATCAATGTTAATCGCCATTGGAAACTCCGACAATCTTGTTAATCAATAGTAACAATTGAAATAAAATTTTGTTAACAAAGTTGATCCGATTTCTGGTACCATAGATTTTATAGCAATTACATAAGTGAATGAAGGAGAAACAAACAATCTGATCATTCGGTGATAAATTAGAAACAATAACAACTCCAAACAGATCTTAAGAAGTCAATCAAGGTTAGATGATAAATATTAACTGTAAAAGTGAAGGGAGAGAAAAAAAGAGTTGAGTTAAAATGAACAATTTAGACTGTGATTAAAAAACAATCAGTAACAATCAGAAAACAAGAATGGTAACAGACAGTAGATCAGAAAATGATATGACTTATGAGCACAGTAATTATACAATAACAGGAATTGATCAATGTCAATTGATCAATTGAATCATGTCTCAAGTCAGGGAGAGAGAGAGAGAGAATAAAGATTCAATTTTAACAATACATATATATAATTTGCACCAATTAACTTCCTGGTTATAATAGAATAATTAAAAATATCCCAATTCAAATGAGATAAACAATCAAAAATCAAACTCTTACCTTAATTTTAAATTCTCCCAAAGAAAAAAACGGTTGGATAAAAAAAAAGCATTACTGTTATTGGAAACTAATGGAGACACAAATTAAAATGTATTAATACAAATGTGTAAGAGTTTGGGTTTACCTTTTTGTCTCCTTAATTCCAGCAAATCCTTTGTTAATTGTCCGATTGTCAATGCGAACAATTAACAATTAACACTAAATTAAATTGATTATTTACACTTCCACTTAAAGTAAACAAAATTTAATTAACAATAGAAAATGTTTCCCTCCTTTTGATGGCAACAAATTGATTCTATCAACAAGAAGGCGGGACCAAAGAGAAAAAAAATTCTATTCTTTTTTTTGCTTTTCTTTCAATACAAATGGACGATCTTCAGATGATTAGAGTTTATAAAGGAGAAAACATTTGATCTGTTGATTTGATTGCAATTAATTTACGTTTTAATTTCTTTCATTTGATTTTGTGTCTTGTTATTACGATTGTTATATTGATCTCTTTCTGTGTTTGTGTTTGTATCTGTGTGTCTTTGTCTTTGTCTTTCGTCAAATGGATTTGTTAATCTCTCACCATCATCGTCGTTCTCATTGGCTTTTGATTGTTATTCTTTTAATCTCTGGGTTGGTGACAATTTTTGCTGATTCATCGACTGTTAATTCTAATTCCACAGTAAATTCAACGGATACTGACTCTTCTCGTGAGGAAACATCGGCTGAAGATGAAGACGAAGATTTGTACTTGCCCGTTATTGAATGTAAACCAAATGTTACTATTGAGGAGATTTTCTTGGAAAATAAGATTACCCAAGATTTAGGGTTAAATTTTAGTGATCATTATATGGCTTTAACTGAGATTGAATATAGTGAGGGATTATCTGTTCATTGTGGTAATGAATTAACACCCAATCAAACCTCTCAAGAACCTGTTATCTTTAATTACCATGGTGGTTGGTATGAACATTATTCAATTGTTATGATTGATCCCGATGCATCCAAAGATGTTGGTACAGTCCTTCATTGGATGATTGTTAACGTTCCTGGTTCTAATTATACTGATGGTGAAGTTTCCTGTTCTTATCGTGGACCCAAACCTCCACTGGACACTGGACTTCATCGGTATATCACTTTAGTCTATTTACAACAATATTCTGGACCGGTCACTTTTAAGGATTACTCACAAAATCGATACAATTTCAATTTAACCTCATGGGTATCAGAAAATAGTTTAATTGGTCCAGTTTTTGGTAACTTTTTCAAGGCTCAAAACAAATCTCCAGGCAAATCACCTTAATCACCTAATAGATTAACAAAATCTATTATTAACCTTGACCTAAATCTTTTACCAAAGAAAATTGGACAAGCAACTAAATCAATCCAATCCAATCAAATCAAATCCATATTTTAATTGTTGTGTTTTTTTTTATCCTTCGACACTATTAATCCATCCGGAGACAATAATTGAAAAGGAATTACATCAAAATCTATTCTATTGTTGATTCTTGTTAAATATATTTAACTGAATATGACTTTGTTATTGACAATTTAACGACAATAACAATTTAACCCGTAAAATAATTAAATAACCTTCATTGCTTCAATGAACAATTAACTTTTTCATTTCCAGGGGAAAAAAAGTTCAATATTGATAATTTCTCAATAGATGAGCTGTTTAATTTGTATCAAGTAAATTGAACAACAATTTAAAAAACTTTTTAAAGTCTATAACAATTTAGATTTCCAATTAAGATGCAAACTTTTTTTCTTCAATCAAAAAACAAATAAATTGATTTATAATTAAATTGATTGGATTTCGAACCAAAAATAATCAATTGCGAACATTAAAAAACAACAATCACCATTAAATTGTAAATCCAATCAACACAATTACCTTTCTAATTTAATCTTTCAATTGTTATAGTTGATTGAACGCAATTAACATCAAACATTAACGTTGAACTTTAATTGTTACTCGACTTTTTTGTTAATCGTTTTGTGATTAGTTTATTTTGATTGTTTGTTATTTTTTTCGGCCATTTTTTAACTTCGATTAGAAGATTCGATTAACTTTAATCTCAAAGACCATTGAAAAAGGTTCTACTCAAAAAGAGAAAAAGTTTTATCACATCTTAATCCGGATTCTTCTCACTCTCTCCTCTCTCATCGTTTTCCATTCTCAGTTCCATCACCAACTCCATTTACTAGAGTTCAGGGTAGATCGAAAGTTCGTAAATCGTATAAAATGTACAAAAGAAAACCAAAGAGAGAACAAACCAATTCGCATTGAAATTCCCTCAAAACCGAACAAATCAAAAACCTCTCAATTGATTTTTCTTTAATTCTTCATGAAACAATCATGATTCCTCTCGAATATTATTAGAAAAAAGTTCTGACATTTAAATCCAATGAAATGTCGTTAAATTTTTCTTCAACTTTAATTTGCCACCAACAAAGAAAAACCAAAATTCGCAATAAATCAATCGCAATTCTCATATTCTGATGAACTTTTTGTATCCATCAAATATCCAACATAGTATCCAACTAAATCAATCCAATCCAATCAAATCCATATTTTAATTGTTGTGTTTTTTTTATCCTTCGACACTATTAATCCATCCGGAGACAATAATTGAAAGAGAATTACATCAAAATTCATTCTGTTGTTAATTCGTGTTGAATAAATTTAACCGAATACGAATGACATAAATTATTGACCTCTCTCTCTCTCGCGATTACATTTGGGTCGCATTGGTAGGGTACTGGTATTCGTTTTTTAAATATTTTAGTATTTCAGCCTTAGCCCGTTGTGAGTAATCGTTGAAATCGGATTGATCCAAGCAAACAAAAGATCCAGAGACTCGTATAATCATCCGGTAGGTTGACCAAACCTCACAGTCGGTCCATTCTGGTACTCCACTTGTACGATTTCTATTGATAAGTCCAACGAGATCATGCCGCTGTTCACTCTTATCAGGCGCACGGCAAAAATGACCATAGAAAATATACATTTGGACATCATTTGGTTCTCTTATCACGTCCACTTTCTGAAAATATAAAAGAAAATTCAATTATTAAACTTCAATACTTATGTTTTGTCAGAATTTTGATTGTATCTTACATTTTCCTCCGGTTTCAATTTATCTTCAAGTTTGATGTCATTCACACCACAAGCCATTTTCTCCGTGTCGTTACTATTCATGTTGATCGAGACTCGTGGTCACTAGAAGAGAAAAGTAGTAAAAGGTGAACAGGATTATAAATTGGTGTTAATGAAAAACTTTTGGTCGAATTGGTTGAAGCTTTTGGCAGCGACAATTATAAGGTATTTCTCAGGTCAAAGTTGCACATGTGGTGTAGAAACTAAAATGGTGTCAACAAGAAACTCTTGTCAAGAATATTGACGGGCGATATTATCGATATCGATTGATAATATCGATATTTTGAGCTAAGACGATACGAGCGTTTGTCTCAACTAAAGGGAATCCAATGGAATTAAATTGTTTCCAATTTGTTTATTTTTGTTAATTGTCATTGTATTGGTTTTGTTTCTTTTTCTATTTTATTAAATTCCATCAAACTGTTAATTCACTTTGATTCAGTTATAACTTTCATCGTCTACACTCAAATGTAATTTTGTTTTCTTTCTGTGTTTTAATTGTGATTAGAGTTACTAGTTAACTCTAATAATCAAAATCTTAATCATGTAGTTTAATTGTGATCAAATGTTTTTTCTATTAAGTGTAAATATTTTCATGTTCATTTAAATTTATCTTACCTTTTTATTGTAAATTATTTTCTTGATTAACTTGGATAAGTCATTGTGATTATTCAAGATCAATTCATTTAACCTTTTTAATATATTAATTTATAACAATGTAATCAAATGTAATATTTACAATTAACCTCATTCAATCTCTACCATTTAAATTGTTTATCATCAATCAACTAATCAATTTCATTAGAAAAATAAATTGTAACTTTTTCTTTCACCCAAAAGTTTCAAGTCTTTCCTTAATTTCACCCGAATGTCCAAAGCGTTTTCGTTCATCGGCTTTCTGATCATCGATCAATATTAGTGTTCAATCTTAATTGTAATTAATAAACTTTGATATTTAAAAGTTTATCTTAGCCAGTTAATCGGATTTAGGATTATTGGTTTAATATTAATATATTTGTTTTCGCAAGGAATTGGTTGTTGAGTCAGTTAATCATCAATATCATAATTAATTAGTTGATCAACTAATCCACTGATTGTTATTGTATAAGATGATTCGATTATCTCTATCCGTTAATTTGTTGGTTAATTTCGATCGAGAAAATTGATTCTGAAACTATTGAGTCAATTGTGGCCATCGTTGATTGTTATACTGATGGTGAAGTTTCCTGTTCTTATCGTGGACCCAAACCTCCCCTGGACACTGGACTTCATCGGTATATCACTTTAGTCTATTTTTAACAATATTCTGGACCGGTCACTTTTAAGGATTACTCACAAAATCGATACAATTTCAATTTAACTTCATGGGTATCAGAAAATAGTTTAATTGGTCCAGTTTTTGGTAACTTTTTCAAGGCTCAAAACAAATCTCCAGGCAAATCACCTTAATAAACTAATAGATTAACAACAAAATCTATTATTAACCTTGACCTAAATCTTTTACCAAAGAAAATTGGACAAGCAACTAAATCAATCCAATCCAATCAAATCCATATTTTAATTGTTATGTTTTTTTTATCCTTCGACACTATTAATCCATCCGGAGACAATAATTGAAAGAGAATTACATCAAAATTCATTCTGTTGTTAATTCGTGTTGAATAAATTTAACCGAATACGAATGACGGTAAATTATTGTTCTTCTCTCTCTCGCGATTACATTTGGGTCGCATTTGTAGGGTACTGGTACCCGTTTTTTAAATATTTTAGCATTTCAGCCTTAGCCCGTTGTGAGTAATCGTTGAAATCCGATTGTTCCAAGCAAGTAAAAGATCCAGCGACTCGTATAATCATCCGGTAGGTTGACCAAACCTCACGATCGGTCCACTCTCGTGTTCCGCTAGTACGAGATCTATTGATTCCTATAACGAGTTCATTCTCCTCCTGTTCATCATCATCAAGCGGACGGCAAAAATAACCAAAAAATATACATTTGCCAATCATTTGGTTCTCTTATCATGTCCACTTTCTGAAAATATAAAAGAAAATTCAATTATTAAACTTCAATACTTAGGTTTTGTCAGAATTTTGATTGTATCTTACATTTTCCTCCGGTTTCGATTTATCTTCAAGTTTGATGTCATTCACACCACAAGCCATTTCCTCCGTGTCTTTAGAGTTACTATTCATGTTGATCGAGACCCGTGGTCACTAGAAGAGAAAAGTAGTAAAAGGTGAACAGGATTATAAATTGGTGTTAATGAAAAATGAAAAATGTCTACAACTGAATTAAATGTCCTCTTATCACAATTTACAAGTCACAATATTCACATAAAACACAATCAATCACAGTGATGCCTTTCAAAATGACCCATCGTGGTGACAGCCATTCATAGAGCGGGTCATTCGAAAGGATTGAAATCAATCAATTATTTTGAGTTCGGTCATTGGGTGAGTCGAATCGACGATCGGCTCAGTCGCTCTTTCGGCTTGAGACAAAAACGCCTTTCGTTTTGTAAACAAATTGGAAACAATTTAATTCCAACTTGTTTATTTTTGTTAATTGTCATTGTTTTGGTTTTGTTTCTTTTTCTATTTTAATTAAGTTACAATCGTCATTAAATATGAAGAAAAAGGTAAGTGATTGTTATTTTCGTTTTCTCTGATTGATTGGGTTACCTTTGAGTTTATTTGGTCTTTTCTTTTTTCCTTTTCATCTTCTCTCAGGTACTTCTTATGGGTAAAAGTGGTGCTGGAAAAACCTCCATGAGATCAATCATGGTGGTCAAGAGGCCTTCATGGAAAGTTTTTTCGCCTCACAGAGACAATTTTGCTTGGAAGCCATTCTACAAAATTCTCCAGAAGCTGAAGTTTTCTGTCTAATACATAAAATGGATCTCATACCCGAAAAGAGAAACAGAGATTTGGTAACAATCGCTTTCTCGGTAAAATCTTAGTTATGATCGCACTGGTTTAGCTTAAGCCTTAAGACTTGAAAGTAGATGCTTTGGAACCTTCATTCGGGATGAAACTATGTTCAAAGCTTGGTCGAAAATCGGTTATATTATTTTCCATCAAACTGTTAATTCACTTTGATTCAGTTATAACTTTCATCGTCTACACTCAACTACAAATGTAATTTTGTTTTCTCTCTGTGTTTTAATTGTGATTAGAGTTACTAGTTTACTCTAATAATTAACATCTTAATTTTCATTGTGATTGTATCAACATTTGGATCTGTCAACAAACAACTTTAATTTTTGGATTGATTTTTGTTCCCATTTTTTAAAAATCATTCAAATTATACAAGATAAGTTCATTTAACCATTTTAATATATTAATTTATAACAATGTAATCAAATGTAATATTTACAATTTACCTCTTCCAATCTTTACCATTTAAATTGATTATCATCAATCAACTAATCAATTTCATTAGAAAAATAAATTGTAACTTTTTTTTCACCCAAAAGTTTCAAGTCTTTCCTTAATTTCACCCACTCGAATGTCCAATCAATGTCCAAAGCGTTTTCGTTCATCGGCTTTCTAATCATCGATCAATATTAGTGTACAATCTTGTAATTAATAAACTTTGATATTTAAAAGTTCATCTTAACCAGTTAATCGGGACAGGTGATTTAGGACATTTTATAGCTCATCTTTTTTATTGGGACTAAATTTTCCCCAGTAGGGTTTATTTTCAATAGTAACAGAATCACAGAATTCCTGGTCAATCAAAAAATCTTTAGCATCCCAAGCTTGTGCACCATCTTTGAACATGAAGATTGCCCGGTTATCCTCAATGATAAATCTTTCCGCTAAAATGTGGTTGTTCATCAAACTGGTTTGCCATAGAGATGTAACTTGGTCTGTTTCCGGGCGAGTTTCTTTACCATATACGTTCACAAAAACCATCAAAGATTTACCTTTTTTTGATGCTTTCAAAACATCTTCCGGGTTATTAAAGTTGAATGCGGAAAAATCAACCTTAGGTGGTTCTCTTTTCCACTCTGGCACTTCATCTGGTTCCAAAGGGTCATCTTTCTCTTCCCATTGCTCAAAAATCTTTTCAATATCTACATCATTATAATCACGAAGGTCTTTCTTTACCTTCAGTCCTATTAACTGAATAAAATTGAAAATTAATTAGAAAATAACAATTAAACACTTATTTGGCTCCATTTGAAACGATGTAAACAAAGTAAAGAAAATCAGTTTGTTGATTAATCGCACGGTTTTTTCACCATCTGGTTGCATTATACATTATTCTTCAGGAATCCTGAAGATTGCCTGAAGGTAACACTGACTAATCGTTCAGTTTACAAGAATTTTACTTTTTTTGTATTGTTAGTTAGATCTGTGTGAGTTTTGTTTCATTTCATTAGTTTAAATTCATTAGTTTAATTTCATTAGTTTAATATCATGTTTGATAAAGTTGAATTGGGTGCCGTTTGTTTGAAGGTCCAAAGATAGTTTGACTCATTAGGTTTGTCATAAAGAAAAGGAGGAAATAAAAAAATTTAGAATTTCAATCTTTTCAAAAATATAAGTTTGAGATAGATTAAGTTGCATCAAATTAACAAAACTTACCAATAAACAAAATGGTTGAAGTTGACAATAATAGTTTAGGTTAACAAAGAAAACAACTAAAGTAACTGTTGAACTATCATAATTTTAATCAACGATCCTTGTGATGAGATGAACATTAACACAAATTAAATTAAAATTCACAGGTAATTAATTAAATTAAAATTCATCAGGAAAAAAGTTAACCTTTCCAAACAAAACGGTGGTTTCATTTAGTTTACTCTTCGATAGATGGAGACACGTTTATGTTTGAAATGAACAAAATTAAAAATTGGAAAATTTTTGTTCTTTAATATATTTAAATGCTTTGATTATCAATTAAATTGATTGAAATTATGACAAAAAAAAACTTTAAAACGTAATTAAGATTAATGAGATTATTGGTTAATCCTTTTTATTGGATTTAAAGTGTTCATCATTTGTGTTGTTTGTTCCTGTTGTTGTGTTTGCGGTTGATTGTTTACTGTTTCGAGGTTTAATGAATAATTTCATTAAATTAACTGATGGAGCTTCAAACAGGATGAAAACAAGATATCCAAGGATGAGACACATAACGAAAATGTAAGCAACTCTCATCCCCTAGAAAAATAATGGTGAAAGAAAAATGGAGATTTTCAGATTAATTTCAGCCTTAAACCGCTAATCGAGACAATCAAAGAAAGAGAAAGTTTTGTCAATCAATCTTACAATAAATAATCTAAAGGGTGTTTCGGTTAAAAACCTACCTTAAGGTCGAGAGGAAAAAATTTAATCGAACCATTTGGTTGGTGATAAAGAAGAGATAAAGATGATGAAAATGATAAGATGCAAATGATGATGAAGGAAAACAAAGATTTAATCATTGGCTAATCTAATTTAAGCCACACCAGTGCGATCATAACTAAGTTAAATAACTAACATAACTATGTTACCAGAATATCTTTCTCAGAAAGTAAATGTTTTATACTTTAATCACTCACCTTTATCAATCAATTTGTGATTAGAGTTACTATTTAACTCTAATAATCAATATCTTAATTATGTAGTTTAATTGTCTTAATATTGATCTTAATTGTGATCAAATATTTTTTCTATTCAGTGTAAATATTTTCATGTTCATTTAAATTTCTCTTACCTTTTAATTGTAAATTATTTTCTTAATTTGTCATCAATCTTAATGGTCATTGTGATTGTATCAACATTTGGATCTTTCAACAATCAAATTCAATTTTTTGATTAATTTTTGTTTCCATTTGTTTACAAATCATTCAAATTATACAAGATAAATTCATTTAATCATTTTAATATATTAATCAAATGATCATGACGATGAATCAAATCAATGAAAGTAAATGTTTTATACTTTAATCGCTCACCTTTATCCGGAAAATCACCTTAACCAACCAATCGATTAACCTTGACTTAAATCTTTTACCAAAGAAAATTGGACAAGCAACTAAATCAATCCAATCAAATCAAATCAAATCCATATTTTAATTGTTGTTTTCTTATCCTTCGACACTATTAATCCATACAGAGACAATAATTGAAAGGGAATTACATCAAAATTCATTCTATTAATTCTTGTTAAATAAATTTAACCGAATACGAATGACGGTAAATTATTGACCTTTTTTTTCTCTCTCGATTACATTTGGATCTTATTGGTAGGGTACTGGTATTTGCTTTTTAATTATTGTGGCATTTCAGCCTTAGCCCGTTGTGAGTAATCGTTGAAATCCGATTGTTCCAAGCAAGTAAAAGATCCAGCGACTCGTGTAATCATCCGGTAGGTTGACCAAACCTCACGATCGGTCCACTCTCGTGTTCCGCTAGTACGAGATCTATTGATTCCTATAACGAGTTCATTCTGCTCCTGTTCATTGTCATCAAGTGGACGGCAAAAATAACCAAAAAATAAATACATTTGCCAATTATTTGGTTCTCTTATCATGTCCACTTTATCTTCAAGTTTGATGTCATTCACACCACAAGCCATTTCCGCCGTGTCGTTTTTATTCATGTTGATCGAGACCCGTGGTCACTAGAGGAGAAAAGTAGTAAAAGATGAACAGGATTATTACAGTGTGACTGTGATAGTCATCACTAAGAAGTGATGAGTGGTGAAATTGGTGACAATTGAGTAAAAGCATTGGGGTTTCTTCAAACGGGAAACACTGTAAACTTGTATTGGTGTTAATGAAAAATGTCGACAATTGAATCAAATTGTCATCTTACCACAATATTAATTATTCAGTTAAATTAAAAAAGACAAGAAAAATATACTAACAAATTTTGTGAATCCAAAGAGAGAGAATGAAACTTGGTCAACTGAAGCTAAAAGATAATGTGGTTTCAGAAACTAAAATGGTGTCAACTACTAGTTAACAATAGTGATGTTTGTGATCATCGAAATCATCGATTATCATCGATGATCGTCGAAAATTTCGATGTCGATGATTTAAAATTAAACATCGATTTTTTAGCCTCTTTCTTTTTCTACTGAACTTTTCCCTCGCATCGTAATTTCCCCTCTTTTCTATTTCTCTTTCTTTTTCCTCTGTCTTTTTCTCTTTCGACCAAATATCGATGATCATCGATTTTGGTAAAAATTATTGCATCACAATCGATTATTGGCAAATCCAATAATCGCACATCACTAGTTGACAACTAGAATAAAGAATCTTTATAGTGATGTTCCGATATAATATCATACTCGATATTTTTCGGTAAGACTCAAGATATGTCCGTCAGCTCGATATTTTCAATTTTCAGCTGATTTTTTTCTCGGCTTAAGGTTCGGTTTGATTGTCTTATGCCCTCCGGGCCTTTCTTTGGTCATAGTGACCCTTATTAGCGAAGACCTAACCTAACCTAATTTAAACAAACACAATTAACTGAACAATTAAGTCCATTTTCATATGTAGCTTAAACTTTAAGCCGAAAAAAAATCAGCTCAAAGTTAAAATATCGAGCTAACGGACATATCTTGAGTCTTACCCAAATGTCCAGGCAAATCACCTTAATCAACCAATAGATTAACAAAATCTATTATTAACTTGACCTAAATCTTTTACCAAAGAAAATTGGACAAGCAACTAAATCAATCCAATCAAATCAAATTCATATTTTAATTGTTATGTCTTTTCAGCCTTCGACACTATTAATCCATCCGGAGACAATAATTGAAAGAGAATTACATCAAAATTCTCTCTATTAATTCTTGTTAAATAAATTTAACCGAATACGAATGAAGGTAAATTATTGGCATTCTCTCGCGATTACATTTGGATCTTATTGGTAGAGCACTGGTATTGTTGTATTTCAGCCTCAGCCCGTTGTGAGTAATCGTTGAAATCCGATTTTTCCAAGTAAGCAAAAGATCCAGCGGCTCGTATAATCATCCGGTAGGTTGACCAAACCTCACAGTCGGTCCATTCTCGTACTCCACTTGTACGATTTCTATTGATAAGTCCAACGAGATCATGCCGCTGTTCACTCTTATCAGGCGCACGGCAAAAATGACCATAGAAAATATACATTTGGACATCATTTGGTTCTCTTATCACGTCCACTTTCTGAAAATATAAAAGAAAATTCAATACATATGTTGTGTCGCAATTTTGATTGTATCTTACATTTCCTTCCGGTTCCGATTTATCTTCAAGTTTGATGCTATTCACACCACAAGCCATTTTCTCCGTGTCGTTACTATTCATGTTGATCGAGACCCGTGGTCACTGCAAGAGAAAAGTAGTAAAAGGTGAACAGGATTATAAATCGGTGTTAATGAAAAACTTTTGGTCGAATTGGTTGAAGCTTTTGAAAGCTACAATTATAAGGTATTTCTCAGGTCAAAGTTGCACATGTGGTATGTTGCATATTTTAACGAGTAATATTATCGATACTTGTTTTCAATATTACTCGATACTATGAACTATCAGTAAGGCACTGAAAGTTTTTGACTCAGAAAATGAAAATTGAGTATGTAGAAATTTCACCAAATAGAATCAGAATAATCAAAAATATTAATACTGTTCAATACCCACGGTATTGTTGATACTTGTATCAAGAAGTATTGAAAATATTATCGATACTGTAACAAGAATACGTTCAATCAATACTTTCTATCATTTCAACAGATGTTTTGAAACTAAAATGGTGTCAACAAAACTCTTGAAAGAATATTGGCGATATTATCGATGTCGATTGATAATATCGATATTTTGAGCTAAGACGATACGAGCGTTTGTCTCAACCAAAGGGAATCCAATGGAATTAAATTGTTTCCAATTTGTTTATTTTTGTTAATTGTCATTGTTTTGGTTATGTTTCTTTTTCTATTTTAATTAAGTAAAAATCGTCATTAAATATGAAGAAAAAGGTAAGTGATTGTTATTTTCGTTTTCTCTGATTGATTGGGTTACCTTTGAGTTTTTTTTCTGTTTTCCTTTTCATCTTCTCTCAGGTACTTCTTATGGGTAAAAGTGGAGCTGGAAAAACTCCATGAGATCAATCATGGTGGTCAAGAGGCCTTCATGGAAAGTTTTTCGCCTCACAGAGAGCAATATTTTTCGAAATGTTGAACTTTTGATTTACGTTTTTGATGTTGAATCAAGAAAATTGGAAAGAGATATTGACTATTTCAAATCTTTCTTGGAAGCATTCTACAAAATTCTCCAGAAGCTAAAGTTTTCTGTTTAATACATAAAATGGATCTCATACCCGAAAAGAGAAACGAGATTTGGTAACAATTGCTTTTTCGGTAACATCTTAGTCATGATCGCACTAGTGTGGCTTAAGCCTTAAGACTTGAAGTAGATGCTTTCGAGCCTCCATTCGGGATGAAACTCTGTACAAAGATTGGTCAAACTGTTAATTCACTTTGATTCAGTTATAACTTTCATCGTCTACACTCAACTACAAATGTATTAATAATTTTCTCTCTCTCTCTCTGTGTTTTAATTGTGATTAGAGTTACTAGTTAACTCTAATAACCAATATCTTAATAAATGTAGTTTAATTGTGATCAAATATTTTCTCTATTCAGTGTAAATATTTTCATGTCCATTTAAATTTCTCTTACCTTTTTATTGTAAATTATTTTCTTAATTTGTCATCAACTTCTTAATCAACATAATCAACATCTTAATTTTCATTGTGATTTTATCAACATTTTGATCTGTCAATAATCAAATTCAATTTTTGTATTAATTTTTGTTCCCATTTGTTTACAAATCATTCCAATTATACACATTTAATCATTTTAATATATTAATTTATAACAATGTAATCAAATGTAATATTTACAATTAACCTCTTTCAATCTTTACCATTTAAATTGTTTATCATCAATCAACTAATCAATTTCATAAGAAAATAAATTGTAACTTTTTTCTTCTGCGCAAAAGTTTCAAGTCTTTCCTTAATTTCACCCACTCGAATGTCCAATCAAATGTCCAAAGCGTTTTCGTTTATCAGCTTTCTGATCATCGATCAATATTAGTGTTCAATCTTGTAATTAATAATTTTTGATATTTAAAAGTTCATCTTAACCAGTTAATCGGACAGGTGATTTAGGACATTTTATAGCTCATCTTTTTTATTGGGACTAAATTTTCCCCAGTAGGGTTTATTTTCAATAGTAACAGAATCACAGAATTCCTGGTCAATCAAAAAATCTTTAGCATCCCAAGCTTGTGCACCATCTTTGAACATGAAGATTGTCCGGTTATCATCGATGATGAATCTGTCAGCTATAATGTGGTTGTTCATCAAACTGGTTTGCCATAGAGATGTTACTTTTTCCGTTTCCGGGCGAGTTTTTTTATCATAAACAGCGACAAAAACCATCAAAGTTTTACCTTTTTTTGATGCTTTCAAAACATCTTCATGATTGTTAAAGTTGAATGAAGAAAAGTCAACCTTAGGTGGTTCTCTTTTCCACTCTGGTAACTCATCTGGTTCCAAAGGGTCATCTTTCTCTTCCCATTGCTCGAAAATTTTTCAATATCTGAATCATTATAATCACGAAGGTCTTTCTTATTACCTTCAGTCACACTAATAACGCCGAATAAAATTGAAAAATTAATTAGAAAAATAACAATTAAACACTTATTTGGCTCCATTTGAAAACGATGTAAACAAAGTAAAAGAAAATCAGTTTGTTGATTAATCGCACGGTGGTTTTCATTTAGTTTACTCTTCGATAGATGGAGACACGTTCATGTGAATTGAAATGAACAAAAATCGGAAATTAAAAAATTGGAAAATTTTTTGTTCTTTTAATTGTTATTTAAATGCTTTGATTATCAATTAAATTGATTGAAATTATGACAAAAAAACTTTATAATTTGATATTAATTAAAGTGAATACTTTTGATGATAATTCGGTTCTTTTTACTTTGATAAAACTCATCGTAATTAAGATTAATGAGATTGTTGGTTAATCCTTTTTATTGGATTTAAAATGTTCATCATTTGTGTTGTTTGTTCCTGTTGTTGTTGTGTTTGCGGTTGATTGTTTACTGTTTCGAGGTTTAATGAATAATTTCATTAAATTAACTGATGGAGCTTCAAACAGGATGAAAACAAGATATCCAAGGATGAGACACATAACGAAAATGTAAGCAACTCTCATCCCCTAGAAAAATAATGGTGAAAGAAAAATGGAGATTTTCAGATTAATTTCAGGTTTTTCTTTTCAGAAATTCTTTTTTTTTCTATTCTCTCCAGAACAGGATGGACATTGTAATTACCTCATTGTAATGATCTGCTGGAAAATATTGATGAGAATTGGTGATATCATACCAGATGAAAAGCATCTCGGACATGGCAATAGAATAGGCAAGCCGACTGAACGGAACGAATCCTTTGCTGCTCATGTGTTTCTGGACAAATCCTGAAGAAGAGAAAAGAAATAATCCTAATTAGTTGGAACAATGGTCAATTATGGTCAATCAAAATGGACACTGATGATGGAACAATAATCTATTTACCTCCATATCGGAAAGAAAAGGCATAGAAAATCCATGCATAGAAAATGCAAAAGAGTAATTTCTGCAAACCAATATAAGCAACTTCGGAAAAACGATCAAGGTGACTATCGACAAAATAATACGAAAGGACAAATGTGCTTATCCAACAAAGTGTCGCAAAAACATAGCCCCCAAATATCAGCAACTGAAATAGCCACAAGGCGAAAACAAATCAAGGTAAGTAATCAACATTATTATTATTCTTATTTACTTATTTACCTTATTTTCAATCTTTTGATTTGTCACAACCAGTAACCTGTTAACATGCCCAGGAAATAAGGGGCCATGTGAGTGTAGGTGCTGAAATGCTCAATAAACTGAGCTTCTTGATCATAATCAAGGGTACAACAAACTAAAAGTGGAACACGTCTAATTAATGCCACCGTTGAAGTGATTAAAGGACCCGCTGTGATTAATGTCAACAATGCAAGGACACCTCGTCTTGGATTAGTGACAAGCCAAATCACTGGTAAATAACTTAGACCATACAGTTGAAAATCAATACTAACAGACCACCAATTAGGATAACACTTGAGATGATTGAAAAGAGAAGAGGAAAACAAAAATGAAGAGATTTTGATAATCAATAAACTCTGATGATCGTGATGATGTCAATTGATCAATTCTTACAACTTTTGTTGGCTGAATCCAATTGCTCATATAAAGTACATTTGCCCACCAATATTTGACACAATTTCCTCGGGTCATGTCACTAAACTCAGAGAAGATTGGACCTGATCCGATTCCAGAGAAAGCAAAGAGTAAAACAAGAACCCCGATGAACAAAGGAGTTGATCTGATGAGGAGATTGATTGTTACTTTTTCTAATTAATCTGATTGCGAATAATAAACCAATGGTATTGACTTTTTACCTTAAAAATCGAGCGGTCATGTAACGACGGAATGAGATTGATCCATTGAGACGTTTGATTTCCGGATACCAAGTATAAATTGTGAGAAAACCACTGTGAACATAAAGGCGAAATTTTCACTATCATAATTGGACATCGAGATTTAATTAAGAGAAGTTATCGATAAAATGGATCGATAAAAATACTCACCTCATTAAGAAGAAAATCTCAATGAAGATAAACATTTGTTTCCATGTCTCCCTTACGAACCACTGTTGTGGTAATTGATATGAGAAAACCGCTAATTGAGACAATCAAAGAAAGAGAAAGTTTTGTCAATCAATTTTAATCTTATCAATGGAACACCAATTAAATGCTTGATACTTACGGAAAGTGTATGGAACCACACCCAAGGTTAAGTATATATGTCCAAGAAGGCCGAAAATCCGTAACGAGAATCGGACACTATGAAGAAAAGCTAAATCGTGACTTGTACCATTATCACTTTGAGAAATTAACTTTTTCGTATTTTCAATGGCCGAAAATGAGATCAAAATTGGTGATATATTTTCCGGATAAAGGTGAGTGATTAAAGTAGAAAACATTACTAATAAAATTAGCATTGTTAAGATTGTCCTGTCAATCGATGTCAATAATCAAAGTATTAATTTCAAATCTTTTTTTCTCATCATTTTAGTTGATCAAAATCCACTCACATTGCAGTCTCTTGGTATTTAGCTGGACGAGGTCCATCCGTCGATTCGTGTTTCTCACATGAACGGACTTCCGGGGTAATTCGAGTTGCCTGGAAAACTGAACAATAATCAACAAGTGGTTAATATTTCTGCCATTTGAATGTATTATAAATCGACTTGCTAATAATTAACGTAATTCAATACGAGAATAATAAAAAATTATCTCTTATTTCATTCTCGCCTCTGTCATTAGGTATATAAATCTATTTGAAAGTTCAATCATCTCACACTTGTTAGAGTAGATAATTAATCTTGACGATAAAGACTTGAACTTTATACAACCTTTAGAAAATTAATTCTAATTATTGAATGAGAGTTTACCTTTATTGGTGACTGTTTGGAAATCTTGGCGAGAACATGATGATGGAATACAGAATCCGAAATTGAAAGTATTATTGTAAAAGAATTTCAATTCTTTGGCATATATTGAATAATACGAATCTTCCAAAATGGTACCATTGAGATTTAAGTTTATCGAATCGTAAACAGTCTGAACGGGTTTAAATGGCAATGGAAGGTGAACCCGAAGAAGACAATATTGTCCCGAAAGTGATCCATGTTTCGGTCCATCATCATGGGAGATTGAAAGACATTCATGATAATTTCCAAGATCACTAATGTATCCTCTTAGAAATCCTGGTTTATTTCCAGCAGAAGATTCTAAGACTACCAAGGAGAGAGAGAGAGAGTCATATAATTAAGTTGAATTAATCTCATAGTAAATTAATATTCCAACAATTATCAACCACCTTAGGTTTTTTCCCTCATTTCTAATTGACATTTTATATTTTTTGATTGTTTTTCTATCATCAACAAGTAAGTAAACTAATTAACTACTTACATTTGTAGGCCCAAACTTTACGCTGATGAAGTCCAGTTAATATTTGATGAAGACTGGCAAGACAATGCTGATCAACAGGTAGATCCCAATTGTTGGTAATATTATCAATTAAATTGCAAATAATATCTTTCTGAGGCCACAATAATTTATCCAATGCATCAGCTGATGAAACCCATTGTTGAACAATACCAGGATCATTTAGAACCTGTGAACAATTAACTGATGCAACAAGTAGCACTAATGGGAAAAGTTTTCTCAACATTACTAACACAAGGATAACCAGGTAACTACTTGATAGATTTGAAAGTTATCACTAAGAAGTAAAAAAAGAAAAAGAAATCAAAGTAATAAGAATTGGAATATAATTAATACTACTTGTTGATTCTTTCAATTTTCCTCTTGCATTCACTGATGGTGTTAAATTGTTATCAATGGTAAGAGCAGACATAAACTAATAGTGATGAAAGAGAAAACAAAAATAAAAGTAACAATTGATTAATAGTAAAAAAGAAGAAGAAGAAGAAGTTAAATTCAGTCAATTAATTGTTTCACAATTAACACACACATGATGGAAAATTGTCAATGCAGCAAATTTCATGTTATCTTAAGCAAAGACAATCAGACATCAACTCTTGATAGATTGTGTTAAAATCATCAAGTAAATTGATACAACATGATAATCAACTCTCAAGATTATAATTTACATTTGATTTTTGCGAACCGGTTTTGTTAGTTCAGCTAATCAATCTTGATATTATTGGGGGGAAATATAATCATAATTATCACTGTTTATCATTGATCTTAGTGTACCCGATCAACTGTCCATTGGTAAGTGTTGTGGTCAACACTTATTTGACCTTTCAAGGTTAAATGTAGCAAGTGGTTGTCTCTTTTATTGTTGATAAATAAATAAATAATAATAAAAGTTTTACAATCAATTTCAAATGACTTTGAGCAATGAAATTGTTTGCCTTGCGTGATTTGGTTGTTTCCTTTTGGTCAAATATAATTAAGTTAATTGTTGTTGTTGGTGGTGGTTTTTTTCATAATTGTTCCAGAAGCTGTTTAACTGATTCGTATGATGGTGTATCGTCATCTTGAATTTTATCAATTCTGCTCATTAGATTTTCAATGTTTTCTTTTACTTTGATTGGTAGGATAATGAGATAAACTTGTAGCAATCGCTTGGACTCTTGAAGATAAGCCAGTGCTAAGTAAATGTCCATTGCTTTGGCTAATTGGGTTCGTTTGTTATTGTCCTTGACAAGGTCAGTTATTGGTGATAATAAGCCTGAGATTAGTTTAGGATCTTTCATTAATGATTCTTTCCATGACTGATAACCTTTCGTCTTGTAAAGATTTGTGTCACCTCCGTAGACTCGAGCATGAGTTACCGACATTAAGGTCATTTGGAAACTGTCCATTGTATTTTCCGAAGGTGTCGATGATGATGATTGGACAGCTCCAAAATTGGCTAGTAAATTTTCATACAAAGTTTGTGCCTTGTACTGAAGGGTATTTGTTGTTATCCCGCTTCGTATATTTGGACTGACCTCTGACCAGAGTTTAATACTTCCTCCCAAGGTCATTGTACGATAATAGTGTGTACCGTAAGTTTTGAGGAAATCAAGGTAACGAGTTGGATCAGTGTCATAGGAATCAGGTAATTCTTGTTCCAGGTAATCGGATAAGAATTCAGATAAATGTCGACGAAGCGGAAGTTTAGATGGTAATGTTATCGTGTACAGAGGGGAATTGGCTTCCATGGTTAACAGGGTGGTCGATGAGTTTATCATCAATTGTTGAAAATGTGAAAGAGATAAAGTCTCAGAGAACCAACCTTTAGATGAACTTCGACCTAATCCAAGAGAAGTTGACAAATGATTCTTGAGAAGTCGAAAATCTTCAAAAAGTCGAACCTCTGTCATGGTCATTGGAGTAACTGAGGATGACGATGACGATGATGACGACGATAGTAATGAAATTGGAGATGATGTCGATGATACTAACGAAGTTATAAAAGATTCTTGTTCAGATAATTTGATATTCTGAACTTGATCAGGTACATCATATTCTCGACCTGCAATGGTGACCTTTCGACTCTGATGACAATGGAAAAGTGAAAGAAAATAAAATAAACAATTAAAAGATATTCGTGTAAGAAAAGTTTTCTAATGATTTACCTTTCGACAAGTGTAATCGAAAAGGTTCTCAGTGGTACCATCAAATCCGTCGACACTGTAATCGTGAAGAAGGTCAAGTTTAGTTATGTCCACTCCTCTTGCCACAGATTCGAGACCTGGTAAAATATTTTCACAGAAAGAGGTTGAAGATGATTGACCAGAGGATGAGGATGAATGGGATGAAGATGAAACATCAGATCTTGAGTATTGTAAATTATCCCGATTGATATTTGATTCAGTGTTTGTTTCCTGTTGATTTTCAAGACAAATGATACTGTTAATTTCTGATAAAGACAAAAAGATGATAACTTGAAACTCTAGTGATAAAAACATTGTTTTCATTTTCGTGTGTGTGTTTTAGTTTCACATTAACAGATTAAAAGTTTATTACATTTTCACAGTTTTCATGTTGATTGTTGTTTAAATGATGATAATGATTAAAATCAATTGCAACAGTTAACCAACTTACCGAACAGGATTCTTGATCTTAATACACAATTAGGTTGAGGTTTTCTCTTAATCAAAGGGATTGACATACTTTTCGTTAGGCCGGTTTTCAGATTACTACTGGTCAGAGGGTTAATGGCGATATTGCTTATCAATAAGATTAATCAATCGATTGCTCAACAATTAAGGTGTTTACATTGGTTAATTGTTGTAAATTAGGAGCAAAAAAGTTTTAATATTAATAGAAAATCCTTAACTTTTTATTTACTATTTATTCAATCATATGAAATAGTATTCATGAAACTTTTGTATCTGATTAGCTAATTATGGTTCATTGGTGCTAATTGTTTGTAAATTGATTGATTGTTATTGATTGACAATCTGGTGTTCAGAGGGAAAAAGGGACTAATTGTTTACCGTTATATTGTTTGATTTGACTTAAAGATAATTGTTCATTGGTGTGTTTATCTAATTGTTGAATTAGAGACTGAAAATTGAACGGATTTCCTATGTAAACTTGAAATAACAGTGGAAATTAAAATTAATTACTGTTAAAAATGGTTAACAATTTAAAAATCGGAAAAAGGGAAGAGCTTACTAATTTCCTAACAATAACAACCAGTGTTAAAAAAATTAAATTGATATGATCATTATAACCAATTCAGTCAACAATTCAATGTAACAATTTATCAGTGGATACAAAAAAAAAATGAAAGTCAAATTAATTTTAAATTGTCATTGATTAGAAAACAACATTTTCCTCATCTTTAATCAAATAATGTTAGCAAATCAATGGACACTTTTGATTACAATCGTAATCACCTTAATCACCTTGAAACTGACACTTGCTGGACGATTACAATCAGGACTTCCGTATCGATATCAACTGGCCAGTGGTTATCGACGTAAGTTAAACTATCATCTAATAGTTTGTACAATTAATTGATCATTGATTTTGTCTACAATTAAGCTTACAACACGTGCCCTCAATTGGAGATCGCCAATGGATTTGTACGCCACAGTAGGAGAACAGCTCGATTTAGGTGTCAGAAAAATTTCACATTAATTGGTGACAATGTTATTCATTGTTACGGTGGTGAATGGGACGGAGATATACCTGTTTGTGCAGGTAAAATCCGATCATCATAATGATGGTCAAGGTGGTCATTAATCATATTTACTTAAATTACCTTTAATTGTATTGATTTTTGCTTTAGCTGCTGGTTGTTTGAAGTTTCCTGCACCTAAACAAGGGACAATTAAGAAATCATTTCGTGATCTTTATGTGACAATCAACTGTAATCCTGGATATTCACTTGATGGGTCATCTACTGTTTACTGTGATGGTCACTACTGGAATGTATCTTATCCAACAGTGGCCAATATGTGTAAAAGTAAGTTAATTGTTGACAATTGGAGATATTGATTATCTTAATCTTTATTTCATCTCATTTTACAATCAGAGACTTTATCTAATCCATCAACTTGGTGTGGATTTGAAAATCATGACCAATGTGGTTGGACATCAGATGAGCCCGATAGAGTGGCCATTGAGGGTCCTAACACTTTCGGCTATCGCCCTTATGGATTAGCTTTGTCTGCCCATAATGGAAATGGTCATATGTTGGTTATTTGGAGTACAATTACCGGTCATTCTGAATCAGTGAATCGTTTGTACTCCCCTGTATATGATACTAAAGAAAGTGAATCATGTTTCACTTTCTGGTACCATCTTGGTGGTTATGATAAACTGACCGATCCTCGTAAGTAAATGCTATTTGTTGACATGAAATTTTCTCTCTCAATGATAAATTGTGATAGATTGATGATAATTAATGTTGTATTTTCAGCTCCATTTAAAGTTTATATTAGACCGGAATCAATGGCGATTGGTGATGTGACCCCTTGGATATTCATTACAACTGCTGATGCTTATGGTCAGTGGACCTCTGGTCAAGTTTATGTTCCCAAGATCAATTCCGATTGGCAGATTATCCTAGAGTTTAATGTTTGGCAAAAAGTTTATGGACTTGATGACCTTTCAATTGACCGAAATGTAACCAAATGTGCCACCCGATCAACATCAATGACCGGTATTTCAAATAGCTGGACATCATGTAAAGATAGATGTTCATACGAGCCAAAAGGATCATCATCATGTAGCTGTTCATTGCTCTGTAATTATCTTAACAATTGTTGCCCAGACTATGAAATCTATTGCTCAACTAATTCAACCAGAGAGTAAGTTTCCATGCGAATCCTTAATTGCTACTTAAAAGTTTATCTAATTATATTCTTACCAATTATAGTGATGATGATTTTCTTGATTTTGATAAAATGTTTTCCAATGAAACAACAACAACAACAACGATTTTATCATCAACATCCACGGTGTGGATTCCCACATACACCACACCACATCCATTTCTATGGTTTTTCACTGAATTTACACCATATTCAACGAAACGAACAACATTGAGTAACAATCAATCCAAAATATACTTTCCAATTGATTCAACTATCGATACATCAGCAATTAACTTTACTTTAATAACCACAATCAAACCATCAACAACAACAATTAAACCAACGAAAAATCCAGTTTCGATATCAACATTTACCTCATATACTAAAGCAACCCCTTTAGTATCAACTAAATCAACCAATTTAACTGTTACCAATAAGATTGATATTCCCAAAGAAATTGGTTCAAACAATTTAACAACAATCAATCCAATCAATGAAACTAATCAAGATTTCCATCAACTCCATGTTAACCAAACTATTACATCAACAATCAGTTCTAATATCACTTTGGTTACGATGGAAACTCTTAATGGTAATCAAAGTATCTCTAATGAAACTAATCAGTTAGCTAATGAATCTCGAAGTTTAAATAGTGAAAAGGCAGAATTAATTGTTGAACAAAATTCTAATATGAAGACAGTTTCAATTCTAATTGGGATCTTCGTGATCGCCTCTGCGGTTGGCGTTATCGTCCTTTGGAAGCGACATAAAAATTACCTTGGATCAAGTGTATCAGCTGATTCTGAGCTGAGATTCTTAGCTCATGATGTTGATAATTAATCAAGAAAAGAACGAGAGAAAGAGAAAAAGAAAAACAAGATTTAATTTAATTCTTATATTAATCGAAACTCGAAACTTTTTAATTTACATCGAAATCGAAATGAATAAAAAAAAACTTACCTCAATCAACTAACCAAACAAGAAAATTAAAATGTACATTGATCATGATTAAAATTCATTATTTAATAATCTGTTGATAGTTTTTTTTTCCTTTCCCTTTTCCTATTCAATCAATCGACCTTGTAATTAAATGTACTTAATTAATTTCTAATTATAATAATGTGAACTTAAGTTTCCTGGAAAAGAAAAAGAAAACTTTTCTTTTCCTAACTGATCAGTTTACTTTGATTACAATTTATGATTTAATTAAAAAACGAACAAGACAAACCTTTCCAACTCTTCTAATTACCAATGTAATCATAATCTAAACATAGATTGAAAAAAGTCAGAGAAATAAAAAGAAAACAATTAATCACAACAATCAACTGATTTCCATCAAAATCATCAACCAGAATTTGGAAAACCAGGGACCGTTGATAAATTAAATTCCATCAAACCCCCGATGGTAAACATTTTTGTTTATTTATTTTTTTTCTTGTTTATATTTTAATCATTTGTTGATTGTTTGGAATTTGATTTTCCAATTGATGTGACTCAATTTTTTCCCATTCTAATTGTGAAGGTCAATCGGTTACCCCTTTCACAATGACCAGTTTCCTTTCTGAATTAGAACAGGTAAGAAATTGGTTATTATTGTTTTCCACTTTTCTGTTTAGGTTTTCAACTTGAATCTTTGTTGTTGCTAATATTTGATTTGCTTTGTTTTTCTCTTTGGTATTAATTTTTAGGATCCATTTGATCCGAAAGAGTTTGTTGAAAGGTTGGCCTGGAGAGCGACAAAGGATAAATTAGACTCGACAACCTTTGATTCGCAAACTTTATTTGATGAATTTGAAGGGAGAATTCGTGAATTAAAGGACATGTATGAGACTCATGAAAAAAAATGTGAACGTTTGGAAATGGTTTGTAAAGAGGTTGAGAAAAGACATTGGGTCAAAGTGGCAGAATTACAGAAAAAGTGTAAACATTGTTTCTATTGTTTCCAAGAATTGGATGAGAAACTTGATGCAGTCGCTGCTAAGGTTGTCTATTTGGGCGATCAATTGGAGGGCGTCAATACACCAAGAGCTCGGGCAGTTGAGGCTCAGAATTTGATGAAAGAATTTTCAACCTTCTTCAAAGATGATAATTCATCTAACAGTGAAATTGATCCTTCTCAGGTAAGAAAATACAAATACAATCAACTGAACGATGTGACAATCAACAGATTGCTAATTCTATTTCATTTTCTATTTCTCTCTCTCTCTCTTCTTAATGGTTTAATATTAGTTGTTTGAGAAAGCTGATGTTATCGAGAAATTGTACAAAATATCACAGAAATTACCGAATGGAGGTAAATTTGATGGAGCCAAGAAACGTATCGAAGCAAAATATTATCAAATTGAGAAGGATTTGATTGAGGAGTTTTTCCAAGCTCAGGTTAAGGATAATAGGCCTCGAATGAAGGAGATTGCAACCATTTTATCACAATTCAAGGGATACAATGAGTGTAAAGATGCTTTCATTGAGAAAAGTCAAGTGGGAATATTTCTTGGTGTTGGTATTTTCAATGATATTGTTCCACTTTGTGAGAAATCACAGTTAATCATATCGGAAGTTTTCGCCGATCCTGACAGAGTAATGGCGAAATTTGTTCTCAACATTTACCGTGGAAAATTACAAGAATATATTCACAATCGTCTAAATAATGATAAAGATATTCCGGAAGAGTTTTTAACAACTTTACACGATCTTTATTCTAAAACTGTGAAACTTTCCCATCAATTAGCATCTTCTAAAATAATGGGTGTTGATCTGGACTTTTTGAACACTTTGACACGAACGATATTTGATTCTTACCTGGTTGCCTACATTGAAACCGAGTTGAAAACTTACAAGAACAAATGTGAATTGATCTTACAGCGTTTCTATGATTCTAAAAATCATCAGAAAAAACCAATACCCATTGGAAGTATTCAAGAGTTGAAGAGAGATTTACAAGCCAAGATTGGCCGTGCAAATATCAATTTAGGTTCCATTGCCGGTGGAGGTGGTGGTGGAAGTGGTAACAGTGGTACCAATCAAGATTTCACCAGTGAAACTTTATTATCGGAAGAGGTTGCCATCAATTTGTTACAAGAAACAAAATTAGCCCTTCAAAGATGTCAAACATTGTCAAATCCATCAAATGCTGCCAACAATGCAACCCAAATATTTGAGATGCAACTTAATTATCTTTGTATTGAGCATATTGATTATGCCCTTGAAATGGGTCTTAATGGTGTACCGACCTCCGAACCTAAAAGTCAACCTGAGCTTCATTATTTTGAAATCGCTCGTCAATGTAATGCCATTTGTCACCTTCTTGAGAAACAATTGGTTGACAGTCTTATTCCATTGGTAATGTCTACACCTAAACACGGTGAATGTATTAAACGTAAACGTGAAGTATTGGAAGGGTTAGAGGTCAAGATTAACAATGGATTAGAAAGATCAATTGGAGCCATAATCTCATGGGTTAAAATAGTTCTTAATACGGAGCAGAAAAAGACCGACTTTAAACCGGAAACAGAAGATATTGGAATGATGCAAACACCGGTAATCATTTTCTCTCTATTATGTTAATTAAATCATATCTCATCTTATTTTTTTCTCTCTCTCTCTTCATCCATAGACATGTGGTAAAGTTGTACGATTTTTAAACGTTTGTATTAGTAAGGCCAGAGATTGTTTCGATGGTAAAAATGTGGAAGCGTTGATGCTTGAATTTGGAACAAGATTTCATCGAATCGTCTATGAGCATCTCATGCAATTCCAATACACTTCCTTAGGTACAAAATCTTTCAATCATATAAATCTTTCTCTCTCTCTCAGCTCCTCAACTAATATGTTTCTCTCTACTTTTAGGAGCCATGATTGCGATTTGTGATGTCAACGAATATCGTCGATGTGCGTCCGCTTTTCGAATGCCGTTAGTCAATCAACTTTTCGATACCCTCCACGCTCTTTGTAATCTACTGGTTGTTGCCCCTGAGAACTTGAAGCAAGTTTGTAATGGAGAAACATTGGTACGAATAGTTTTCTCTCTCTCTCTCTCAAACCATTGAAACGTACATACGATTTTAATTGTAATTAATTGCTTTTTTCTTATCTCTCTGCTATAATTTGTTTTCCCCTCCTGCTCCTTAATTAGTCTGGTCTGGAAAAAACAGTTCTAATCAACTTTGTTGCTCTTCGGGCGGATTATAAATCAGCCAAGCTGATTAACCAATTCAAGTGACATCGTAAAGATTGTTAATCATTAACACGAGCCCAATGGACGGCAAATTAATTTATACCTCGTTTTTTTTGGACATTTTTTTACACTTAGGAAATCACGTTACGTATTTAAATCAGTTGTTACTGTTGTTAATAAACACTCGCTTATATTTATATATAATTATATGAATATATCATTTCTCTAAGTCATCCAACCATCAACAAGTTATCTCAGGATAATTAATTATCGTTCACACGTTTATCACGTTGATATTATATAAAAAAAAACAAACAAAAATACTTCAAGTGTCAATTATGATTAGTCGGCAATTCACAGTTACAATTAATTAACGATCAAAATATTGAACTTATCAGTTATCCAATTATACTTGACTCAAGTGCTTATCTACCGGATACTTAATGATTGACAAAGAGCTGACGATTTGTTGAAATTGTCCAATTAACTACCCTAACAATTGATCAGATAATTTGACAATTATGCTTCCGGTTATTAATTTTAATTCAATTTAAAATTACAATCATTCTTACAATACATATCGATAGAAATATCGATTAATATTGATGAGAAAATATCGATTTATATTGTCGATATGATTATGATTAAAGAAACACTAATTTAAACGAAATCAAGAGAATTAATTAAGCAAAATGATTATAATTAACTTCATGTAATTAATTTGGAATTGACATCAATAATTGTCGATAATCTAAGTAATTGGAAACTCGTGGAAACTTTTGATTCCCGTTGAGATCTCACAAATTACTCGAATCGATTATTTTTCAATTAATAAAAAAAAATCTCTGTTGTGAGTCTCATTTGTTTCGTTGAGGTTTGAGTTAAATTTTAATTGTTTTTGTTTTGAATTGATTGCCTGAGGATATTTACCATTTATCGTTGATTGTAAAAGTAAAATGAGTTCTGAGGTGAAAGTTGTTTCGGTTTCTAAATGTTTCGAGGGTAAACAATTCGTCTATTCTCATTACAGTGATTCACTTAAATGTGAGATGAATTTTTCTCTCTATCAACCGCCTCAGGCTACAGAATCTAACAAAGTACCGGTCATCTATTTTCTATCAGGTAATGTCCACCATTTTGTTTCATTTAAAACCAAACCATTCAAAATAATGGTTCAGGTTTGCTAATTGATTGATCTTTGACCATTAATGGTGAAGAGTTGAGGTCAGAGATTAGTAAGATTGAATGTCATGTTTAGGTTGATTTCTAATTGATGATCTCTGATTTTTTTTCTTCTTCTTTTCTTTAACAGGATTAACTTCATCGGAACAGGAGATTATTCAACAATCAGGGTTCCAGAAATACGCCTCTCACCATGGAATCTGTGTTGTTGGTCCTGATACTTTTCCTCGATCTTCTTTCCCCAAAGACAGCACCATAACTCGAGCTCAAATGGCCTCAATGTACGTCGATGCAACGACCAAGGGTTGGAATGAACATTACAAGATGTACACTTATGTTACTAAAGAATTGATTAAATTGGTCGAAGAAAAGTTTAATTTCATTGAGAAAGACAATCGATCCGTTATGGGTCACAGTATGGGCGGACATGGGGCTCTAATGGCTTCTCTTCGTAATCCTGGTCTCTATAAATGCTGCTCGGCATTTGCACCAATCTACAATCTTGAAGGTGCTCATGAATTTATGGTTAACCTAATGGACAAGGAAGATTATGATAATTGGGATGCTACTTGTCTACTCCGTAATTACAAAGGACCTTCACTACATATACTCATTGATCAGGTAAGTAGACTGAATTTCTTGGTGGTTCATTTCATGGTAAAAGACTTGATTGCCAACAAGAAAACTTGTCAGATCACTTTATTACATGTGATCAGGAAAAAATATAAATCGGAAAAAAGCTCATCTTGTCTAACCTGTTTTCCAATGTATTGGTAATAATTTAATCAACTTTTTATTTCTCTCTCTCTCTCTCTCTCTCTCTCATTCCCTGTGGTTATGAAATCATGCCTCATTTCCCACCACGATAAGGGAGCGGAAGATTATATACTTGGTCTATTCAGCGCGGATCGTTTCATTGCCGCTGCAGTGGAAAATAAAACAACCGTTACCTTTAACCTCTACGAAGGCTATGACCATGGACACCAGTTCGTGAAAACTTTCATCGGTCATCAGTTTGACCATCATGCCAAAATTTTGAAGAGTTAATCTCAATATCAGAATTTATCAAGTACTCTCATGGTGAATCTCAGAATCTATCGATATGTTGGAAAACAATTTATTAGATCTTCGTTATGCTGATGATTATTTCCATAGCTCAATTAACCTTTTTTTTGTAATTTAATTAATGATTTGGTTTCAATTGATTTCTCAAATCTCTCCAATTGATAAACATTAAATATTCAATTGTCAATTTTTCCGAGTGAAAACTGAAAATTTCCAATCAATTTTGTTTCAATAGAAAAATTTTATTGTACTTTTGTTGATTAGTTGTTACATTTGTTGATTAGTTAATTGTTTACCATATATCCACATCGTGACAGGATTTACAGGCACATAGACCATCAATACATTGGGTACCACAGGCACAGGTAAAGGCTTCCAGCCAACCATCACAATCGGTATCACTTGACCACTTGTTACATGAAATTGCTGACCCATAGGAAGCTGATTCTAATTGTTGTACGCTAATTAGCGCAATTAGGGAAACAATAACAATCAATGAACACTTTTTACTGAACATTTTCAATTTCGATGTGAATAGAAAAACTAATTGATTTTTTTTCCAACAATTTAAATGATTGAATAAACTTTTCTCATTAAACTGAAGTAATTTGAATTGTCAAAGTTATAGTTTATATACAATTTGATTTAAATCAATTCAAAATCATTTCCAATCAATAAATCTGATAGTTAATTGTTAAATCATTAATTATCTTGATGGTCAAAGATTCAACGGTTTATTTAAATCAGATAATTTAATTGTCAGGGTTAGATTAACTAACTGTCATTGCTAATTAATAACTGTGATGGTTAATTGTTCATAGTAACAAAATTTGATTTCCAATAACAATAATCAAATTCATTGTTGATCAATTGATTGTTCAAATTGAGTTAATCTGATTAGAAATTGTCAATTGTAAGCTGACAGTTGATTTAATGAGAAATCGGTAAAATTAATCAACAAAATGACAACAAGCTAATGAACTATTAAAACAATTAAATTAAACCAGGATCTACGAAACAATTAGCTTTTGATAATCAGTGATTAATTGATTATAATTTGAATACATTGATCTGATAAGACAAAATAATATCAATGATAACTGTAAACACTGAAACAATTTAGTTACAATTAAGATAAATGATATTGAAAAAAGTGAATTTCAATTAGAGTTGATGGATTAAATTAAATTGTATTTAGTTAATTGTTGTAAGTCTTTAAAATGACAATCAAAAAGTAGTCAAGTTGAATCAAATATAAATATTTTTTAATTATAATTGATTAGAATGAATCAACATGCAAATTAATTGATTAATGTTTTGAGTGGTGTTGATTGGCGATTGGTAATTAGAAGCGAGTGATTTAATTGATGGTTAAATCATCAACAATAAATCACAATCGTTGGCAAGTGTATCAAGTTACAATGAATATAAATTTAATACAGAGATTAAAAAAAACAATGCATAGATTAATATGATTAAGAAGATGGTTAAAAGTTAATCTTAAATACAATTATATGTTATAATTAGTGTGAATATAATATGAATGCACAATTTAAATTAATCATAGTGATCAGACTTAATGATGAATCGTTAATTTGACCAGTTTGACACGTTAATCGAGACTCAATCGTTAAGAAAATTGGTCAAGTCAATCAATCAACTTGATGATTAAATTGAGCTGGATAATATTTTGGTAAAATGATTGATCTTCAATTAGATTGAATAAATTAAATCTTGATTATTGATCTAGTTTCATCCACTATGATTTGTTGATTGTTAACAATGATAACATAATCAATTTGTGCGTTTTTTGTTTACATATAAATTTGATTCCCGAAATGTATCAGCGGAATGTGAATCAATATTAATCATCAACAAGTCAAATAGAGTTAATTGTGTCCAGTCAATTGTTGATTGTGAAGCTCTTTGTTTCCAATGGTCATCATCTTCAAGCTACAATTAGTTAAACTAATCAAAGAGATTTTAAATCTTCCGAAGTGTGAACTTTATACTTGACAATTCCTGGTCTCTTGTGACCTTTCTTACGGCCACAAAGCTCTTCTTCTAGTGTAGACGATTCAGATTTGGAAAGGTCAGTGGTCACTTCAACTTGACCAATGAAAGAGTCAAATATTAAACTATTATTCCAAACCTAAATTGAGAGAAATTGAATAAAGAATAATAAAAACAAAATGATTAGTAAAAGTGAGAGAAAAAAAAAGTTGACAATGACCACAAAAGACCATCAAAGTGACCAACCTCAATCATGATTGTATCACTTGCCCCATGATAAAATATTGCAGAGAAATCCTTAAAATCAGGGTCCAGGGTGTTATTGATAGAAGTTGATTTAACTGTATCACCACCACAACGGATAATCAGGTAAGGATTAGCACCTGGATTAAGGAAGAGAGGAAACAAAAGTTAAATCAATAAAGGAATAGTAAATATGAGATTCAATCTCAACAGGTGAATAGATCAATTCTCATCTTGATTCATGATAAATGTCATGTTTACTATTGTTGCTTTTCATTCAAGGTGAAAAAGTTATTAGTTATCCTGAGTAATGAACAATTTATAATCAAACTAATTTAACTGGAATATCAATAAACAGAGTGGTAATAAAATCCAAGGGAAGAAAAAAAATTGTATTTAAAGGTTTCTCTGTTTTCTAATCTTATTTCTTGACGTTTTCCTTTTGGATAATATTATCATGTTGTTCAGTTCAATTCCAAAGTGTATTCATGGAAGTTTTCGTTGAGAAATTTATGAAAAATTGTGGTTAATCACGTACTTCCAAACCGATCTTGCTTTTCGATTCCAGTAATTGATTGAACGGTTATTTTTGTCACGAATTTTGGATATTTGGGTGCAAGAAAACGGAAAAAGTTTTTCTTGGGCATATCTTCATCTAATACTCTATGGGAATATAAAGATAAATTGTAAATGTAATTAGTTTCCATGGGGAAATATTAGATTAGAGAAAGAAAAAATAGAAAAAGAAATTGAAATTTTTACCTTAAATTAGATCTCTCCTTAGAGTAAAGTCTAATCATTAGATCACAATCAGATTTTGAGACTGGTTTAATTATATATCGACCATGGGCCAATTTGATTCGGTGGAAGATGCTTCGGGTTTTAATTGTATCATGAAAATGGATCATATTACATAAAGATGGATTATGTAAACGGTAACGTCGATTCAGTTCAACTTGATAGATTTTGAAACCAAATCTTTCAGGTTGATCGTTTTTCTGTATAAGGTCAATCATTATCTCTTCCGATTCATTGGTTACATCGAAGCAAAATTGACTGGACATGTTTGAATGTCGAGTCTCAACGAAACGATTATCTTCAATGTGTAAACGACAAATTGTTATCGATTCAAAGTTGGTGGAAAACTTTTCAAGGTTGATCCTGTGATAGAAAATATATCAAAATCGTAAACAATTAGTCATAAATATAAACATTTCTCTCCAAGTGAGTTGGATGATAAAATGAAGATAATGTCATCAATTGTCAATGTGAACAATAAGATGACGATGGAAACAATTGAATTACCATTGCTCATGATACTTTTCATCCAGAAAACTACTGCGACAACTATGGGAAAAATAGATCATGGAGAGAGAGAGAGAGAAAAATAGAGATTAATTAGTAAATCATTAATAAAGCAGAGAAAAAAAAATTAGTGTCAATTGTCAAGTTAATTTAGTTTGTGTGTATTGTTTTTGAATGTCAATATGATGGATACAAATTCAGAAAATGTAAACATGAACAAACAGAATTGTCAATCTACTATCGAGAAAACTTTCTGATTATCATGATCATGATTCAATTCAATAGATTCATTGAATTTTTGATTAATTGAATGAAAAACAAGATGACTGTTAATCATAATGGTAATAATAACAATTCATTGACCAAACAATTTAGGTCATACAATTATTAATATCATTATCATATGGTTAACTTTTAACTGTAAATGATTATCTTTGACAGATGATCATCATGATGACTGAATTAATAAACATGATCAATTGAAATGAAGGATTAGTTTTACTGTATGTGTGTACCTGAGTTTGTATCGGATGAAAAGATCAACAATCCGGATTAAATTGTAATCTATTTTCAGGATGAAATATATAAGTAGTCAGGTAGAGTAATTCAAAGTGTGTAAAGTAAATATTCATGGTTCATGGTAATCAATGAATATTTTTTCACCTGAAACTCAGACTGAAGATGATATTGAATGTAGATCATCATCATCATCATCATCAGTATGAAAGAGACAAAAGATGATCGATATAATCATTGGGATGATCAGAAAATTATCTCTTTCTTTTCAATTTATATTGTGAATGTTGATCATTATCATCATGGAACATGATTGCCCTTCAGACAGTAATTCAGTAATGAATCTAATACTAATTGTTGTAGTAATTTAATTCTCAACAGGTCATCAATTAGTCTGATTATTTCATCGTCTACAATAATCCAGCAATTGCAGATTGAAATTAAATTGATTGCAATGAGAAAAAAATTATATCTAATCATTTCAAGTTAATTGTTGTTGAAGAAGAAGGAAAAATCTATAAATATTACAATTCTAATTGTAGTTTATAAGTTGAGTAGAAATGTAATTGATTAAATTAATTATTCTGGTCAGAGGATTGAAGGATTATCATCAGGATCAATGAGGAATATTAATTTGGAGATGTTGATTAATTTGATTAATTGGCCTAAAGAAGACATTTAAAACCAATTACTGATTTGATTGATTATTTTTGTCTGAAGCTAATTTTTTTCATGATAAACCTGATGATCAATTGATTGGAAATATAGATGATTAAAGTTAATTACTTTCTCTTTTCCGGATAAATTGTATCAATTATCTTTAGACTTGCTATTCCATCCTTTGAGTTTTTCTTGAAAGTGCCTGAGGCTGGTTTCTTGACCGAAGTGACCACATAGAAGTGATTTTGTTTCAATCCATTTGAATAAGAATCAGTGCAATCCTCCTAATAGAATCATCAATACATGGAAAGAATAATAAACAATTAGATTAATCATTTGATGGTGGAAAGTGTAAAAGGAGTGATTAACGAATATGGAATAATGTTTTTTTCAGCTCAACAATCAATCAACACAACGAAATTTGTTGAGTAATCAATGGAAACATTGATTATGCTACTTAAATCCTTTTCTTTTAGATTAACAATTTAGTTGAGTAAATTTGATCACACTCAATTGAACAATAATCAACTATCAACAAAGTGAATATGGTAAATTGCAAATCATTGTAAACTTAACACATTCAAGTGGAAAGCAAAGTTAATTAACTAATTTTCACCTTCCATAATTTATGCTTCATTAACAATTAATCTGACTAATTGTTTGGATAGAGAGCAAAAAGATAAAATAAAACAAGTTTACAATCAACAACAATTTAAATTGGTTGTTGTTGTTGTTGTTGATTTTTCTCAAAAAGTGAAAATATTATTGGAATATTAGTAATTAATAAGATGGAAAGTTAAATTTTACCCGAGTTTTGAGACAAACAATTGATTTACGATTAATTTCCTCAGCAATTAGGCGGAAAAGCTCCTTCTCATCATCATCAAGGTTAATCTTAATCTGCTCGGTGGGTGAACCAGAAAAATCAGTCAAAGCATCAGTCAAATTACCAAAGGTTGACATTGTTTCATAATTTCCTTTCAATTTAGCATAAGCTTTTTCCAATAACGATAACCAGAAAATTTGTCCACATTGAGAAGAGGTAAAGATCAATCTATTATCCGAAACAGGTAATTTATCATCGATCAGAACCTTTGTCCATGTACCATAATCCCAAATCCATATTTTGAAGATCCCATGGTTAAAGTTGTATTGATCTTTAGGAAGAATCTGAAATTTTAACAAGAGAACAAGAAAAAAGAAATCAATTCAATTGTGATTAAAAGAACAATCATTTTCTCTCTCTCTCTCTCTCTCTCTCTCTCTCACTCTCTCACTATTCCCATGAAAAGCATTTGAATATTTAGTAATTTGTTGATCTATTAGAATCGTAAATGATTAATGGAAACAAAACAAAAAAACGTCAATCAACTAATTGTAAACAGAAACCATGAGATGATAGATGTTGAAAATCTGTCCACAGTCTAATTTAATTAAATCATCAACATGCAATTAATGATTGATAGAGTTGATTAAGGCCAGTAAACCGAGAGTGAGAAAAGTTTATGGAGGGATAATAATAATCAATTGAAAATGTTGACACAAACTTAAATTAATGAGAGTTAAAAATTGATTAGTAATCAAAAACTGTTGATGTTTCTATTTACCTTATAAATTAGATTTTTATCCTGAGAGAGAGCAACAGCCGCAGCAATTAACCATTCATTTGGACCAAAGCCGAAAAATTGAATATTCATATTGGGACCAATTTTGTCTTTAAATAAAGCATAAGGTTCAGAGGTGATTTCCTTTGGTCTTTTCCATGAGATTTTACCGGCAATCAATTTATTCTTGAAACCGATTGATTTATAAACCGATGAATCTTCCGCTCGGAAACAAGTGTCCACGTAACTGACCCCAGTTTCTTGACACTCTTTAACCACTTTACTATATTTCTCTTTACTTAATGTTCTTTTTGGTCCTTGAGAACTGGTCACCATGTTTATTAGAAGAAGATGAAACTTTAAATGACCACAATCAAAACAAACCTGTTGACACTAAACAGTAAACAAACAAAATTTAGATTCTTCTAATTGTCTTCACTTATCAAATTCATCTTGTTTACTATTACATTTTGGTTTATAATTGCTGACTCAACAGCTGCTCCCTGCTACTGCAGGCTCTCCCATTGAGAGTCGACTTATTGTCTCTGCGAGCGTAGCCGATTTTTTCAGCTATTTCAGCGAGTTTTTTTATCTTAGAGGCTTTTTTCAAATTTTTCAGCCCAATGTATTTACATTCGAGAATATGTTCTGTCGTCATTTGCTCATTATTGCAGTTGTGTTCTATTTTGTGTATAAATCGATCAATTTTGACAAGCGTGCACATTAATTTTGTGTTGTAAAAGTAGTTTCCTTTTAGATTCCATTTGTGTTTGATAAAAATCTCCTTGAACATTCCTGATGCTCTGGATCTAAAGAGTTCTTTCTCTCTATTCTTTAATTTTTCTAGTATTTCTCTTTTAAGTTGATTTGTGGTTCTGTTGTATCCCGATTCTTTGATTGCTGTGGTTTGTTGATAACAGCTGTCCAGTTTGATCACCTTTATTAGATTTCCATGTGATAAGATCTCCCGTGTATTCATCTCATTGAATTTCCATCCTGAGTAAATGCTCACAGTCCCCATATCTTCAATTACCTTCATAATCATTCTTTCGATATTGAAGATGCAAATTTTCCCTTCTTTCAGCTTAATATGTTCATGTAAGTTGTGTCTCAAGCAAATGATGTTTACAGAATTTGTTTTTCTTATTCTAATGACTTTTCTTCTACCGTCATTATTGATTCTTGTCTTAGTTGGTGTTATGTTTTCTATCCATCGTAGTATTGGAAAGTCCTGCTCGCAACATTCATTTCTGATCAGAAGCATTAAAATTTCGGTGATGTATTTAAAGGAGGGATTTGGAAGTCCGTGTATCTGTTCCATCCAGTGAGATTTAAAGTATTTTGGATTACATATTTTACTTGTTATTTTTCGACCAATTATGATGAGATAGTCAATTCTATATTTGAACAGCTTATTCTCAAACCATGGTGATAATCCTAAATGATCAAGTAGATGCGAGAAATATGAAGAATAAGCTATACGCTGTTGTTTTAGATTTAATTGTCGTATGAATTTGATTTGATTCGTGTTAAGTTTGTTGTGATTTATAATGCTGGATTTGAGATTTTCTTCTTCAATTCTAAAGTAGAGTTCAAAGCCCAGGAATTTCGAAAATGTTAACCTGTTATTTATCCAAAGTAATTTAGTTTTATCTTTGTTAAGTTTTAGATTTATGTATCCCAGGGCGATGTCAATTTCTTGTATACTTTCCTGTTTGTGGTTTGTCAGTACAAGTAAATCGTCTGCATATGCGAGTATAAGCTGTGTTGATGGATTTCGATTGAGCCAACGTAAAGTGTTGTCAAGTCCTATGATAAATAGAATCGGTCCTGTTGAGAATCCTTGGAGTCCTTCTGGATCTGGTTCTAATGTCAAATTACCTCTTTGATATCTTCTTATTTGTCTGCATCTGGTAAACAGTTTAATCATTCCGTTGGTGTTTTCATCAATTTCTTCTAATCTTTTTGTGATTTCTGTTCTAGATATTTTGTCAAATGCTTTAGTAATGTCCAGCGCCATCATGAATTGATAGTTTCTCACATTTTCGTATAATTGTACCAAAAGATCATGACGATTTCGATCCAGATAAGCGAATTGGAAGGTTCTGTCGATGTTATCTTTTGCCCATGATTTTAGTCTTTCGCTGAGGATTGTGTCTATAATTTTACCTGGATATGATTGTGTCCTGATTAATCTTACATCACCATTTGGTTTTGGTATTTCCGTACCTCCACTTATTGTAAATTGACTGGGTATGTATTTGTTTTCAAAGCAAGCGGAAATAATTTTTATTATCTTTTCTTTGTTGTATTCCCAGCATTTTAACCAGCGTTTATTGGTAAAGTGATCAGCCCATCCTGATGATTTACCAAATTTCATTTTTCCGATCAAATTGATTTCATCTTCATTCAACGGTTGTCCCAATCCTTTCTTGAAGTCATATATCTTTCTTGCTTTAGGAATCAGAAACATCTTTTGATTAACCATTGATTGTTGTTTGTTTTTGAAGCTTAAGGATTTAATATGTTCGAATATCTCCTCATTGTTATATTTCCATGGTTTATGTATTGTTGATTTTTCCTTGCTCATTTTCAGTTGTTCCTTAAGTTTTTGAAAAAGTGTCTCATCTTGATGCAAGTTTTTAATCGTTTTCATTTTCTTTTTGATTCTTCTAGTTCGTCTGTTACCCTTTCTTTCATTTCGGTGCCCAATCGCTCTTCCAAGATTTAATAGGTCGCATGCCATCCCTTCTATGTCTTGTGTCCAGATTAATATGTTTTTGTTGTATATTGGTATTCGATTGCGTTGAGAAAGAATTCTGTTAACCCCGAGTTTCACAACCAGACAAGAATCGATGAGTTTATGGTCTAGTCCTGGTATATCATAGTAGTTGATTTTTTTGTCAATTATTCTTAAATTAGTTAGAATCACATCGATAGTTGAATGTGTCGCTCCAACTACTCTCGTTCTCCCGGTTTCGTCTTTAGGTAAGATGCTTTCGATATTTTTAAATTTAAGAGCAGCTTCAAGTTCATCGATCAGTTCTTTTGATATCCTGTTCACAGTTCTTGGATTATTGACCCATAAGGAGGATTCTGTGTTCCAGTCACCCATTAAAATTAACGGTGTTTTTTCGTCAATAAATTTGATGTGTTCAATCAGACTCTTGAAGGTTTTCGAATCCCCTGGTGAACAATAAGCTCCTATTAGGTTGATGTAGTGATTTTTTTGTTGAACGATAACACTAATTATTCGAGGGTTGATGAAGGTGATCGCACTTTTTTTCCACGGGGACGGAACACATATACTGATGTTGTCACCATTAATTTTACGATCCATTTTGTTGTTGTCTGCATCCTCCGAGGCTACAACAAAACGGCCTTTATTGATTAGCGAAGTCAGAAAGGTCGCATTGTTTGAGTGTTTGCTTAGATTTACACATGTCAGATTTAGTTGCATCTTAGATGATAATACTATGTTACTGAATGATTTGAGTTTCTTTTAACAGAAATTTTCCCATAATGGGTCCGCCTTAAGGTCAGAGTTCATCTGATGTTTTGTTCTCTCCTCTGTCCTTTCGGTAATAAGTTAAGCAATAAGTTTTCTTTTTCTGATTTAATTTGAAGTTTATTGTTTGGGAGAAAGGTTAAAAAGAGTTACAAGATTTATTTAAATCATTAGTTATAAACGATGAATTTATTATATACAAAGTTGATGTCACATAATAGTGTCTCTTTATTAAAAGGTTTTTTCGTATGTGTTACCTCAAAGTTACCATTTTTTGATGATTTCTTTCGTTTTCATGGATTCCCGTTCTGGTATCAAACAGATCGTTATATCTTTCTGGTTCAAGGAAGTGGTTCGACTTTTTTGCGTGATTCTAAATATCTGGTTGAAAATCTCCTTTGTGAGATTATAATGATTGAGCCTTATCATACTTTCTGTCGTGAATTTGAGCTTTCGGATGTGGCAGAAGTAGTTGACCTTTGCAGGGGCTATAACGAAAGGAGTTATGCTTATTTTTCATTACAGCTTTGGAAGGCTCCAAATTGTCTTCGACTGTACATTCAGTTTGGTGATCCCCTTTGATGTTATTGTTGATTTATCTCGATAACTGTAATCTTGATCATCAGACTTTGTAGTTCCATGGTTTGTGCCAAGGTAAGATGTTCATAGAGATAAACGTTTTTGTTTCGCGCAAATTGCGATTCTGTAACAATAAATTGTATTTTTCCTATTTCTAAAAGTTTTTCTATTAAAAAGGATTGTGTATGATCACATTCAAAGAGATATTGAGTTGAATTAAATATTCTTATGTTGAAGTTGATGCTTAGTAGATCATCGATACATGAACTGAGAGAGTTCACATCATAAAAGATCCCTCTTAAAACCGCCTCATCACTAATTTCATCAATTAGTTCCTGAGGATCAATCAACTGAAGTTGTGGAAATTGTAGTCTAATCAAGCCCGGACCGAAGAATGGTAATCGTTGGTGTTGAGCCTCGAGAGTAACACATCTTGAGACACCCATAATTGCAAAGTTGCGCTCACCGAGTTTGCACTTAACAGTCGAATCACAAATTTCGTTGTTCTCCATTACTAAATCAGTAATGATACATACACAAAATTAAAAGCAGAGGTTAAAGAAACGTTCTAAAGTTATAATGAGTATCGATTAGGTATCGGAATTTAATCTAACCTAACTTAACTTTTGCTATTGTCCACTTGCTAAGCGCACGAGATTTATTTGTAATAACCAAGAAGGAGAGTCAGGTTCGTAATTTATACTTGAACAATTTTGTTTTCGTTAGATATTTAATGTGTTTTTTCAAATTGCAATTTTAAGGTTTGTAACAATTAGGGTTAAAGGTTAATTGTAATTGTATTCTTGAAGTGATTGTTTCTTTTTAATATCAATCCTTAAGATTGAGAGATAGAGGGTAATAAATTCATTGAATATTATGATGAAGAGGAATTAGAGAGTTAGAAAAACAAGTTAAGTAATTTTGGTAATTTGATCTCGACTTTAGTTGTTGTTGTTGAGTTCGGTGATCTATGATGAGTTACAGTGAGTGATGTAAACATTAAAGAGTCTTAATGGGAAAATTTATTGTTTGAGTTTGTTAATTGTTTTGTTTGTCAGTTTGTTTCAAATGTTTATTATTGTAGAGAAAGAAGAAGAGAAAGGGAAGAGAACGGAGAAAACAAATTTGAGGAAAAAGAGAGAATTGTGTAAATAATGGAAAAAGAGTAAGTAGGGAATTGAATGGAAATGCTTTTGGATAAGTAATTGTCGAAATTTGCTATTACAAGCTGTAAGTGAAATTGTATTTTTTGGAAGTCGATTGAATTTTTATATTGGGATTATGTTGCTTCCTTAAATTTAGTTGTGAACGGGCGCGTATGTTGATAGTCTAATCGGATTGTTGCCTCTTAGCTCGATATTTTTGATGCCTTTCTTTAAAGCAATTTCAAATGCTTC